TACAAAATTAGTGTGCTGTGCAAATTCTGCTTATAAATAATTTCATTATCATTACTCCTAAGGGATAATTGTCGAAATGTCACCTGAACTTATATCTCAATTTCAATTTGTCATCTTTTAAGAGAAATGTCACCTTACTTTTTCAAAATCCATGATTTGTCATTTGACTTTAATACCATCCAATTTTCCATACATTTTTAAGGGTATTTTAGTCTTTCCATTTTCAAGAAAAAAATATAGAGAAAAGAGAGACCTATCTCTCCCTTTCTCCCCTAGCCCAACCCCACCCGCCCCAAAAACACATCGCACAGGACCCCCCTCCCCCCTCTTCTCTCTCTCTCTCTCTCTCTCTCTCTCTCTCTCTCTCTCTCTCTCCCTCTCTCTCCCTGACCATGTATAAAAAAATTTATAATGATTTTTCCATTTTTAAAATACCCTTGAAAATGGAAATGACTAAAATACCCTTACAAATGGATGGAAAATTGGATGGTGTTAAAGTCAAATGACAAGTCATGGATTTTGAAAAATTAAGGTAACACTTCTCTTAAATTTTTCTTTAAGGTGACAAATTGAAAATGAGGTATAAGTTCGGGTGACATGTCTACAAAAATCCCTTACTCCTAAATATAATTCAAATTAAAACTCCAAGGTGTAATTATACCTGTGTAACCATGAAGACAGTCCACTCAGACTGCTATATCTTGTATTCATGTAAATGAGTAAATCAAAGATATGATCAAATATTCTCAAATTAAATTGAAATCACAAAGTTGAAGGGACAAACGAGTCATGGGTCATACTAAAATTGCACAAACAACAAACTTAACTTAATGGACAAGGTCATCATCTCTACCAATTGAGACAGTTAGTTACACTAACCTCCTATTCGCTTTACAGACCCTTTACCTCTTATGTGCTCCTCATCCTCTCTAACAGGTACATGAGCAAGGATTTCTCAACTTTGGAGCACTGGCGGCTGCGGAGCTTCAAAAGTAAATGGGGCACTAATGTCCATGGCTGCAAGCCCTTCTAATTCTTGGATTGCGGCAATGGCACTAACTTCGGTTTCGTTATTTAAACAAGGTTTTAGTGCACCAACAGCTTGCCCCACTTTAAATTGCTGCAAATGACATAGAAACAGAATAAAGACACTAGCAAAGTCAAAAGCGGGAAATGCAGTCATATTCAATGAAAAACTAATTTGAAAATTATTCAACTTACAAAGTATTCAAGTTTCCTCTTAAACTCTCCATTGGCAACCGCTTGTGAGTCAGGTGCTTCAGTTGTTGTCACTAATGCATTCTTTTAACCGAAATAGAAAAGAAAATGGCAACAAATTCCAAGTAAGTAAAGCAGCGGGAGGATAATAATATTACTACACATGAGACATGAACGAAGAAAAGTCTCGTAATTTTGCTTTCCTAAAAACAAAACAAATAATTAGGTATTTTGGACTGAAAAAGAATGCAGACTTGATTAAGGGAAATTTCACTAAAACAATTAAGTTCAGAATCAGATTAAACTTTTACATAAGCATTGAAAATTCTTATGGATCGTCTTCCTTGCCAATTTTCAATTCTTTTTATTTTACCCTTTAACTCTCTCCGCATTTTGTTAATATGTTTATTTTCATCCAATTCTTATGTTCATTTCGGAAACTAAATACTGCCTTAATATCTTTTGAATTAAATAATTCTGCAATTCATTTTCTTACTAAATTACAAAGTACAAATCCACTAGCCAGTAGCACCTAACCCCTGGAAAACAAATCATTCTATGATTATCCTTTCGCTGTTGCCATACATCAGTAGGTTTACTTAGTTGTAACGCAAGCTTATATCTAGTTAGTTAGTTTCTCAAAACAATATTTCCCTCCACTAGAGAATACAAGTGCCAGACGATACAACTACACAAGGTTTGTTTACTAGGAGATTCAGAGAACAGAATTACCTTCTTGGGCCTGCCCACTGGCCTTCCGGTACTTCTCTTCGGCCGTTCCATTCCAGGCAGCCCAGGCGGTCGGCCCCGCTTCCCGGGCACTAAGCCACCAACACGAACAGCAGCAGCCGCATCCTTCTTCTTGGGCCGCCCTCTGGGCCTTGGTAGCGATTGTTGTGGCCCGACCACATTGGGCACGTTGTTCTGCTCAAATGCTCCCATTATAGGGACATTGGTAGCGTACGGGAAGAAGACGCTCTTGGGCTCAGCTTTGGAGGGGCGTCCCCGGCCCCTCTTCACGAGGCCGTTGGGGCCCACAACAGCGGATACAGACTTTGGCTTCGGAGGACGCCCTGGCCTCTTCTTCGGCAACCTCGGCCCTGGCGGGCGACCCCGGCCCCTCTTGGCGGACACAGGGCCACCACCAGCTTGTCCGATCCCAGCACCCACAACCTTACGTGGACGACCTGGGCGCCTTTTCACCGACGCTGCTGGCTCGTCAACCAGTCCAAGAGCAACAAGCATGGGCTGCGAATTTTGCTGTATGGTGGGCTCGGGGAAGGCCTGAAAATGGGGGTGTTGCTGTATAGTGGGCTGCTGGGGAACGGGAACAGGTTCTTGTAAGCTGGGCTGCTGGGGAATGGGAATGGGAATGGATTGTTGTAAATTGGGCTGCTGGAGAATGTGAATGGGTTGTTGTAAATTGGGCTGCTGGAGAATGGGTATGGATTGTTGGAAAGTAGGCTGCTGAGGAATGGGTGCTTGTAAACTGGGCTGGTCAAGGATGGGCTTGGTTTTGGGAGGGCGGCCACGGCCTCTTGAGGGCCCAGCAGACGGAAGAGCTGTGGTGGCAGTGGCAGCAGCAGCTGACGCATTAGGAAGCGGAAGGGAAGCATCAGATCTAGGAAGCTTGTAAGACTTCTTGACCATAACGAGGAGACCATTGCTCTTCAAGCGCTTGAGATGGTGGGTCAACAAGGCTGAGTGAGTGGTTGGGAGGCCCGAGTAGGCTCGCTCTATGTACTTAGCTATAGCCCTCTTGCTAGACCCGTCCTTCTCCTTGAGCGCTGCTATGGCTGCATATATCATCTGCACACAAAAAGTAAAAAGAAAAAGAAAATCAAAACAAAAGAAGATAAAGGTTAGAGCTTTGCTGAAATGGTAGATGAGTTGTGTATTTAGTAAATTACCTCAGCATAAGGAGGGTGATTGGAAGTAGGGTTTGGAGGAGGAGTGGGGTTAGCAGCTACATGGGTGGTGGCGATGTTATTTTGATCTTCAGTGGCGAGGGGAGTGATGGCTGGGCCGGCGGAGACGATGGCGGTTGCAGTGGTGGCGACGGGCGGTGGATAAGGATGTGGAGTTGGATATGGAGGTGGGGGTGGGTCCATAGATTTAGAGAGAGAGAGATGAAATTTTTAAAGGGGTAGGTTTGGGGTTGGACTTGGGTAGCTTGGGTCGCTTGGGTCTTGAGTCTTGAGAAGGGTAAGGGATAAGTGAATTTTGTTTTGGACAGGGGAGGAGAGGAGGGGAGGAGAGGAGATGATGATGATGGTTGATGGGATCGGGAGCGTGTGAGAGGGTGGGTAGTTTAATCGGACCGTCGAGAATGATTCATGTATTCGTGCTTCGTTATGTGACGTGGACCTTCTCTGTCTTTTTCCTTTTTTATATTATTTCTTCTTTATTCATAAATATCTAGATAAGTCATTGCTTTTGCAGCTGAGTCCTTATCATTTAAGCACATTTCTATAAAGGGCTCTTATGATCTTATCCTTAACCCCCCCGTGTTTTGTGAATTGAATCTTTTCCTTCTTTTTTCCTTCCACCGCTTGTAAGTTGTATCTTTCAAGCATAAAGCTTTACTTTTTTGTGTTTCCTATGTGTGCTCATAGCCTCATTGGGAAGGAAATGCAACTAGCCAGTGAAAGGTATTTTCATTATATAAGTTGACAAACAAAACTAGTACATAATTTCATAACATTTCATAAAGTCATTGTTCAAAATAGGTTTGGATCTCATTTAGATCATAATTAAAGAAGTTAAGTTGATAGATTGAGCAAACTGAAAATGAGGTATGTCTTGTTGAATAAGGAGCAACTTCTATTTGGCGTCTACTACCATTGTATTATATTTGGACCATTTGAACTAAATTGTGGCGTTGGCGTTCTACATTTCTTAGTTGAAGAAGTCTAATCCTAGCGAAACTAAAGCCTCATGCTAGTTTTCCAATAAGATATAGTAACACTTCTCTGTATAACGCATGCTAGCAACCTACATTTACTACTAACAACAAATGAACAATTACGCAAATCCTATATAGGCTTATTGACTTATTGTTAAGCAATAATACACTTGACTTATTGCCCACCGGATTGGCTTATCTCATGGGTGAACTTAACAACTTTCTTTCTTAAAAAACACAGAAGCTTTTAAAGGGAGTTTATTACTACTTCTTCAAGGTGCCTAAGGGGTAATTAATGGGTAAATTGATACCAGACACATTTTTTTATAATTGTGCGATACTGGCTGGTGTTTTGATTACACATATGATATTAAGAAATGTTAATTAGGTATTCTCCAAGTCAAGCGAAAACCCATAAATGAAAACAGTAAAGAATGAATTTCTTGCAATCATTAGCTTTTAATCCAAAACTTTAGCACTTAATGAAAGTTTCGGCAAATGCTACAGCATTATAAAAAGCTCAGAAATTGTCGAGCGGGTTACCATAGTGGTTGTGGCCCTCCCTCTTAAAAGAAACCCCGGAGTTTCTGTTCAATTTAATTTACGTTGGTTTGCTTCTGTACAAGCACAGCCTCCCAATAAGTGGTTCATTCATTTACAAATTGTGCTATTTAAAATATTTGACTTTAAAAATTATGCTAAACCAAATATGCAGCAGAGTCAGTCAGCAGACATTTTGAGAATACTTTTTCTGCGGGGTGGGGTGGGAATTCAGAACTTATGAAGTCCTTTCAAGTGGGCCCCTAACTGCACATTTATCTTCCGAATGCATGATTCTATTCTATATCTATGTTCTATAGAGAGGAGAGGAGGACCAATGGCGTTGATATGGGATACGAAAAGGGAGGGATGCAACAGCAACACCCCTCAACTCGAGAAGATTGTTGAACTAGCTTCATCCAAACGAACGCACCCACCGTCCATGTCCATGTCCATGTCCATGGACGAAAACGAAATGAACAAGATCCACGCCTGCCTTCGAAATACATACATGCACTTGCACACCCCAGATCACCCACCTTACTCGCAGGTAAGATAAAGATACCCACATTTATTAATGTTCAAAAACTTCTATATTAATGTATAAATAATAGTCCCTCTCTTTTTGTTTCATTTCATCTATATATATTTATTAGTTTATTTATACACACACTCTGTAATAAATCGCAGATGATATTTAAAGCCATTAACTCACTGAATTATGAGGAAGGTGGTGCAAACAAAGCTGCTATATCCGCCTATATTAAGTCAGAGTTCCATGATCTGGCTTGGGCTCATGAGAGTCTTCTCTCTCACCATCTTGGCAAGCTCCTTGAGAGAGGTGAGTTGGTTACTTCTCCTAGCACCGGTGATTATCAGCTTCCAAAACCATTGTTATTGGCACATGAAGATTTGGATCCATCAAAGCATGCTCAGGGACGGGGGCGGCGAGGAAGGCCACCAAAACCGAAACGAGGAAACAAGGAAAGCATGACTAAGAGAGAATCACTGTCTTTGTGTGAGCAAAGGAAAAAGCAAGGAATTAACAAGGTAAGTGTGGAGGAGGATGGAAACCCCAAGAAAAGGAGAGGAAGGCCTCCCAAGAAATTAATAAGTGACAATCATCCACTGGGCAGTTTTTGAGAATTGGAAGGACCTAATGCAAAGGAAAGTAGTAGGCATGTGACACTTGACATGCACCCAAACAGATAAAGCATGATTAGTTAACTTACCATTACTCCAAATAAATACTTAGAAGACCTATAACGATTATTATTCTTCTTTTTGAAAAATTATTACCCTTTACCTTTACCTATAATGTTGACACATCTTGTCATCTTGGCAATTTGGCAACTACTCTTTACCGATAATGTTGACAAGGCATCGCCCCCAACGTGGATATACACGTTGTTGGAGCCAAAAAAAACCCTAAAAGTAAGTGGAAAATGGAAAGAAAGGCATAGTTAGAAAAGAAGGATTCTTCCTTTTCCCCCCTGTGCTTATTGACAACTCCAAATCAGGGAAATTTAGTTGGCAACAGTCAAACATCTCTTCTCAACACACAGCGTATAAACTGCTGGCAATCCAGTTGTCCCACTTGATCAATAATAATACCTTTGAATTTGTTGAATGGATCAAGTATTTGCGTTGTAAGAGTCTTTAAGCCATTATAGAAACGTTTGACCACTGGTTTCAATCAATCACACCCTTTACATTTATCTTCAAATTATACACTCAATAATAAGTTATTTTTTAGTACAAGCAAGCAATAGTCTAAACTAAACTACAAGAGAGGGGGATTTCTTATACACATACAAAATTATGATGTTGTGGGAATTCGAACATGAAACTTCTAATATGCAAGTCAATGTCATTTTTCACTGGACTAGACCTCGTTGACACACTCAATAATAAGTTATAAGTGTGAAGCATGAAGATTGATTAGTGATTTACCAAAAATTGACATAGAATTGTAGTGGTTTGGAGTAATTGCTCATCCATGCAAGGTTATGGGTTTGAGTCCTAACATCAGTGTAGTGTGTGTAAGTTTAATATATTATCGCTACTCTCAATACAAAATGTCCCAAAAAAACAGAAAAAAAAGAAAAAAAGACATATAGACCATGTCGTGAGGAAGTAAGACATGTATTATTGCATTTATATGATATCCACAACGAAAGCCCATCTCCCAAAATGCAAACTTGTTGAACTCCCCTTCCTTACGAAGTCCACAAATCTGCCCATCTGATCAAACTCACCCTGTCTCTCTCTCTCTCTCTATCAGGCACAGGAGCGACCATTGAACCCGAAAGAAAACCCGAGAAAAAGAGAGTGGCAGATGGCAAACTCAGAGAGAAAATAGCGAGTGAGAGAGAGAGAGCGGGCAATGCTGCAATTGTGTGGCTGTGAATCATCAAAGGCTAAAAGGGGCAGAGTATATGGGGAGTGGAGCTACTCTGGTGGAGGGTGTTCGTCGCTGGTTTCAACGTCGCTCTTCTTCCACTTCTACAACTATTAATACTAATCCAAATAATAATTCAAAGCAACCCAGTAATAGTAATTATAGCAGAAACAACTTTATCAATGATCACAATGATGCCCACGTCTGTGTCTCCGATTTAAGCGCCCAATCGTCCACTTCTCACCAACGGGAACAAAAGCAAGGCCAAGAGTACCAGCTTCAGTTTGAGGTTGAGGACGACTTTGACATATCTGGATTGAAGCTCATCTCAGTTCCCAAGCGGGCCAACTTCAGAGCTCCCCCCATGGATTCACAAAAGAAGGTCTTATTTCAGGATCTGGGTTTCTTCTGTTTTACAGTTCCGAGTTTTCTTTTTCGATTTCATTATATGGGCATTGATCTGATTTGTTTTTCCTTGCTGCTCTGTTTGATTCCTGCTTTGCTTTGCTTGGTCGAATGTGGTTTGTTTTCCTAGGCGTCGGTTGGTTAGGGAAAATGCACCAATCAAAACTGAATTCCAACCGTTAATGGCGTGGGAGAAGTTTTTAGACCTTCAAAGTTTATAAATTCATGATGCAGGAGCTGAGAATACTTGGATTTTTCCCAATTAAACCTATTTTTACCTTGCTCCTATAAGGTTCATTGCTGAAGATATTTTTTTTGTTAACCAAAAATGCACTGGTGTTCTTTAAACCATCTTCTGGATCTATTATTGAAGGACATTCAATCATATTATTTGCTTTTATTGTTCAATAATGAATCAAACAAATAAAAAGTTACTCCCCTATGTTTGTTGGTAAATATTCTCCGACATTTGTTTACAACTAATGGTTGTTGATCTTTATGCAGGGCAATCTAGAAACAGAGTTTTTCACAGAATATGGAGAGGCAAGTCGCTACCAAGTTCAGGAAGTCATTGGGAAAGGAAGTTATGGTGTTGTGGGTTCTGCAATTGACACCCACACTGGAGAAAAGGTTGCAATCAAGAAAATTAATGATGTTTTTGAGCATGTGTCCGATGCTACAAGGATCCTGAGAGAAATAAAGCTACTTCGCTTGCTCCGTCATCCCGACATTGTTGAAATAAAGCACATAATGCTTCCTCCTTCACGACGAGAGTTCAGAGATATCTATGTTGTTTTTGAGTTGATGGAATCTGACCTTCACCAAGTTATTAAGGCAAATGATGATCTTACTCCTGAGCATTATCAGTTTTTCTTGTACCAGCTGCTTCGTGGCCTAAAGTATATTCATACAGGTTGGTCTTTTTCGGTAATTCTTTTGGCCTTTGCAGTTGTAATGATAATTAATTTTTTCTCTGCACTTCTTGCAGCAAATGTATTTCATCGAGATTTAAAGCCAAAAAACATTCTTGCTAATGCTGACTGCAAATTAAAGATATGTGACTTTGGGCTTGCCCGCGTATCTTTCAATGATGCCCCATCAGCTATTTTTTGGACAGTAAGTTGTTCTGTCATGCAAATCATGGCATGTCACCACACAACTCCTAAAATCTTTACTTTGTATGGTTGTTAATCAAAAGTCGCTAATTTGCTTTATTTTTTTAACCAAAGTTATTTTAAGTTGCAAATACTGGGGCTATAAACAACACTACTTGTGCACTAAGATTTTTTTACTTTTATGAAGGACTATGTTGCAACTCGATGGTATCGTGCTCCTGAGCTATGTGGTTCGTTTTTCTCAAAAGTAAGCTACAGTTACATTTTAAAGATCTTATATTGTATTATGCATTTTTTGTTTTGTTTTGCATTTTACTGAGATAGCTAATGGTATATGCATAATAATAGATGATTTTATTTTGACCTGTGGTCTTGAAAAGCCACATATTCTGGCACTGCTAATTCAGCCTATTGTTTTGGTTTATGCTAAAAGAGTTACATTGAGCAGGTTAGCAGCCATGCGCTCAGATAAAGAATTATGTGGATTCTAAACCCTTTAGAGAAATTGTTGTTAATTCTTCATTATGGGCTTTCACTGTCTCTATCTGAATGTTATAAGTTGTTATGGTTGTTTATTGCTACTCTATTGGAGGTTTTCTAATTTCTATGACCAATATTTTGGCAGTACACTCCTGCAATCGATATTTGGAGCATAGGATGCATATTTGCTGAAATACTCACTGGAAAACCGTTGTTTCCTGGGAAAAATGTGGTGCACCAATTGGATCTCATGACTGATTTGCTTGGCACACCTTCTACAGAATCCATTGCAAGGGTTAGTTATTTTATTCTAATAACTGCAGTTCTGTCATAAAAATGCTCTTAACAGGCTGCCACAAAACTTCTCAATTTTCTTCGCTCTTACAATTCTTGTAGTAAACCATTTTCTATATTGTTACATGTAACCGCCAAATGCTTAGTTTTTTCTTTTATGTTAAGCTTGCTTACAGGCACCATTCTAGTACTCTTTATCCTTAAAATAATTTATTTTCTCATGAACGTGGTAGATCGGAATGAAAAAGCAAGAAGGTACTTGAGTAGCATGCGGAAAAAGCAACCAGTTCCTTTCACACATAAGTTCCCTAATGCAGATCCCTTGGCTCTTCGCCTAGTAGAACAACTGCTTGCATTTGACCCGAAAGATCGTCCGACAGCTGAAGAGGTAAGGCTAAGTATTTTAATACATACAACCAACATAGTTTGATACCATACTGCATCCTTCAAAATTGCTTGGGACCACTGTACTTCCTAAATCCCTAATACTTATGCTTGCAGGCATTAGCTGATCCGTACTTTCATGGTTTGGCAAATGTTGACCGTGAGCCATCCACTCAACCCATTTCAAAACTTGAATTTGAGTTTGAGCGAAGGAAATTGACAAAAGATGATGTTAGAGAGTTAATCTATAGGGAGGTATGAGTTTGGTTTTCAAAACTTGTTGCTTTCTAGCATTGTGGTTTTTTCCTCTTCACTAATGCTATAACAAATCTTGGGTTCAACAGATTTTAGAGTATCATCCGCAGATGCTGCAGGAGTATCTCCGAGGTGGAGATCAAACTAGCTTTATGTATCCTAGGTGAGGAGGCTATTGGTTTTCTGAAATAATGAATGATTCTGCTGACTATTCAATCAGTTGAACCTCAATGCATGTGGAGGGGTTTATTGGAAAGGGGACGGCCACTCCCTGTTATGTGTTCCAGCCATTGGACCGAAACCAAAAACAAAAACAAAAACCGTCTTGAGTTTATTTAGCATACAGATAAGTCTTGAGTTTGAAATTTTTGGTGCTTGGAGTTATTAACCTAGTTTCATCTCTTTATGTCATTTTAGTGGGGTTGATCGATTCAAGCGGCAGTTTGCACATCTTGAGGAGCACTATGGTAAAGGTGAAAGGGGTACTCCACCACTCCAAAGGCAGCATGCCTCATTGCCCAGGTGTGTTTTGGATAAGCATCTAGGAATGTAGTTTAATTCAGCTATGTCTGAAGGAGCAGATCAAATTGCTTCTAACTTGTACCTTATACACAACAGTCCATCCATCCATCCATCCATCCATCCACCCACACACCCCTCATCCTCTTTAGCATACCAGATCTTTTTATCTCATTTTCTTTATTTATGTAACAAGCTGGTCTAGATTGTGGGCTGCTAGCAAAGCCTGAGTTGACCGTGTGATGTTTGTTAGTTCATCTTAATCACCATGTCATCTTATTCCTCAGAGAGCGGGTTTGTGCACCCAAGGATGAGAATTCTGGCCAAAACAATGATGTGGAAAGGACTGCTGCTTCTGTTGCCTCAACTCTTGAGAGTCCTCCAGGGTCGCAGCAGCCTGATGGCTCTGTAAATGCAGATGGACAAAATGGACCTAGCAAGACAAACCACAACACTCGTAGCCTGTTGAAGAGTGCCAGCATTAGTGCTTCGAAGTGTATAGGTGTAAGACCGAAAAAAGATTTGGAGGTAATTAGCATCATTTGTACCTCATTTCCTCTTGTTTGATCATGACAGGCAATCTTGCACATAATTTGGTGATAGATCTCCATCACAGTTAGAAAAAGGACACCAATTCTCTCAAAAATAAAATGTGACAAATGAAGTGGCATTCTATTTGATCCTTATGCCTCTTGGTCATTGCAGGATTAGTTGTTGGATATCCCCTTTTTCCTTTGGAAATAATGTGATTTCTTTTTCTTTTACTTTGTGTTTCCACAGGAGGAAGCTATTGCTGAGGTCAATGACGAGGCAGTCGATGGTTTGTCCCAAAAGGTTGAAGCTCTCCGTGCCTGATTCTCCGATCTGTAGTAGAAAAAAAAAACAAAAACAAACAAACAGGTTTAACTTTGTGTTCTGCCTCCTTTCCCCCCTATTTAGAAGAAAGGGTGCTCTGTAACAGTCCATATTCGAAGATATATAAGTTATTTCAGTTAGAAGCTAACATAATAGGACTCGTTCATTCATTTTTCCTTCTTTGTGTCACCACCACAACGCAGAGGAAATTTCTCTGCTGTAAGTTGTAACTATTTCTGTTTGAAGAAGACGACATGTATTTTGTTCAATTGTTTAGTGATTGTGTGATACAATAGTAACAAGTTTTAGTTTGAAGAAAAATATGCATAATATATATTTTAATTATTTCCACAATGACAATACCAATTTTGATATCTGAATATCAATTTAACTCGAGCACTTGTACGTGTGAGCGTGGCATGCCCTGAAAATGGGTAATGTCGTTTCTACCCTACTAGAGTATCATAGCTAGCAAGGACATTATTGACTTTTACGGTTTAGGGTGGAGGAAGAAATGGCCATAACAGCTTTTGGGTTGGGCCCTGAGGCTTTCTCGAATTCCACTTCCAGTCTTCCGACACAGGACAACAAAACGACGGCGTCCTTTGCACCCAAAAGAGAGTGAATAAAAAGGAACGACGTCGTGCGAACCGAACTTTACAAGATATCAGGAAAACGAAAAAACAAAACACAAAAAAAAGGAAGAAAATTACAGAAAAACCTCTGGACAAACTGGCTGAAGCAAAGTAATCTCAATAGCCTCTGAAACTCAGATTTGTACAAAGGAACACAATTGGTTTAAGACTGGTCATCCCAGAGTTTGCATTTTTACACAGAGGATGCCATGATTTCATTAGCTACCAAAAATATCTAGGCATCCTTCATACTTATTCTTTTTAATTTTTCCCTCTACCTCTGCTTCACTTGTGGTTTTCAGAGGCAAAAATAGCCAGCTCCTTCCTACCAATCACTTCATCTGTTCATCACCACAACGTATCTTACCTCGAACTTTCTCGTAGCACTCTGGTTCCTGATCACTTAACTTCATCTTGACTTTCTCTTAACTTCACCTGTTAGTCACTTCACTGTGGCGAAGACCAGCAAGTTTCTTTTGCACACACTGATATGCATGAATTCATCTACACTCACCAATAATCCCCGCATGAACAATTACCGCCGCTGAAGTGGTGAAAACGGTGAGAATCCCTTAGGATTATTGTCCTTCCCACAATCTTGGATATGTATTTAATGGCATTGTGGCAGTCTCCACAAACTCGCAAGTTTTTTATTACACGGATTGGCCTCCCAGCTGGGATTGAAAGAATTCCAAATGCCACAGCTAATTTCTCACTGTGATACTTCAGCATATGCTCTTTCTCTTCCTCTTCCACGTCATGTAAAACTAACTTTGTGGAGGAAATGTATCCCTCCCGCTTCATTTTCAAATCCAACTCTTCTAAGAAGGCATATATCTTGTCCTTATCTGGGTGTATAGAGTCCCCAACTGAAAATGTATGAATCTTGTTTTGCACTTCAACCCAGCTATATCCAGGAACTTTCCTGACACCTTTATCCTTCATCTTCAATCTCATCTTACCAACTTCACCCCATCTGCCAGAAGCTGCATATAAATTTGACAAAAGAACATACATTCCTGCATTTTCAGGCTCCATCTCGAAAATTATCTGAGCAGCCTTTTCACCTAATTCGGTATTGCCATGAATCCGGCTTGCACCAAGTAGAGCTCCCCATGTTGCAGCATCTGGTTCAAAAGGCATATCTCTCATTAAATTCTGTGCTTCCTCCAGGCGCCCAGCTCTACCCAAAAGATCAATCATGCAGGTATAGTGTTTTGAATTTGCTGTTATGCCGTAATCCTGATTCATTGAATAGAAATATTCCGTGCCCCTGTCTACAAGGCCAGTATGACTACAAGCAGATAATACACCAACCTGAAATGAAATGAAAACCAAATTAACCATTAGACATAGAGAAGAAATGCACATGAAAAGAGATTATCTACTTTGAACAGAAAATATAATTTTTTCCAGTTGCATAACAATAAAGCCAAGAGTTTTTTTTCCTTCCAGTTTTAATATGCGTTGATCAATTGCAGCAATGTTAAACGGCTTTGAGAACCAGGGTTGTGTTAGGTTAAGCTTTTGAGAGTAATTTAAGAAGAAATAAATGCATTAATTTGCTATAAATAAATAAAAAGATAAATGTGGTGAAATTTTTTTCTCCTAAATATGACCAAAAAAACTTTAATTGAATGAATAATTACCATTGTTACATCATCTGGTTTGATACCTGCTGCCTTCATTGACTCAAAAACCATCAGAGCCTTTGAGCCAAATCCATGCCTTGCATAGCCATAGATCATCGTGTTCCATGAGACAACATCCTTTTCAGCTATTCCTTGGAACACATCATATGCTTCCTCAATGCTTCCACACTTACAGTACATTACAAGGAGTGCATTCCCCACATAGCACCCAGTTTCGTATCCTGCTTTTGTCATTCGCCCATGCAACTGCTTCCCCAATTCCAACGCAGCGATTTCAGCACATGTGCTCAAAGCACAGGTAAACGAAGACCTAGTCAACCTTTCCCCATCTCTTTTCATCTCTACAAATAGACACAAAGCCTCTTCACTATAACCATTTTGAGCATAACCAGCAATAATAGCTGCCCAAGAGATGGAATCACGCCGAGGCATGCTATCAAAGATTTTCCTGGCACTATCAATATCACCACTCTGAGCATAGCCAGTTAAAATGGTATTCCAAGAACTGGCATTCCGAAAAGGCATTGCCTCAAATAATTTCATTGCCATGTCCATTCTCTTGCATTGTACATATCCTGCAATCATTGCATTCCATGAAACCGAATTCTTTTCTGGCATTTCATCAAACATTCTCCTCCCTTCATCCAACATTCCATTCTGCACATAACCCGAAAGCATTGATGTCCATGCAAACACATCACGAATTGGGGACTCCCCAAACAATCTCCTTGCTTCTGACATTTCCCCATTCTGCGCATAGCCTGTGATCATGGTATTCCACGAAACTTCATCCCTCACAGGCATCCGGTCAAAAATCTGCCTAGCATGAACTAATCTCTTTTGTTTTACAAATCCACCCATCAAACAATTCCAAGAAACTGCTTCCCAATTGGCTTTCGACTCAAACAGCCTACGAGCATCTTCTATCCTTCCATTCTGTACATACGCCGCAAGCAACCCATTCCATGATATCTCATTCTTATCCGGCATCTTTTCGAAAACCTTCCTCGCCTCATCAACATAGCCATTCTGGGCATAACCCGATAACATAGCGTTCCACGAAACAACATCCCTTTCAGGCATACGTTCAAATAAGGCATGAGCGGCACCAAGGTCCCTATTCCTCACATACCCACTAAGCATCACATTCCAAGAAACTAGGTCTCTCTCTGGCATTTTCTCAAACATATCCTTTGCAAGATCAAACTTGCCATTTGCCAGGTAGCCAGATATCATAGCATTATAAGATACTGGGCTCCGCCGAGGCATGACATTAAAGACGCGTAAAGCAGCTTCGCATCGGCCATTACGCATTTGGGTGGTAATGTCCTTGTTCAATTTGACAATTTCAGAGTCAGAGGCGTTTGATAACTTATTCATGGATCTGCGTTTCTGGGTTAGTGTTTTCTTTGATGGGATTGGGTTTGGGCAAGTCGGATTTCCAGTTTGGTGCTTGATGTTGCTGGGTTGCCGGGTTTCGAGTGAGCGTAAGCTGAAGCTGCTGCTGTGTAACTGTCTGAAACGGTAACTCCCGCGCATTGTTTTCCCTCAAATTTTGCTTCTCCTCCTCAGCAGCATGCAACACGCCGAAGCTCAATTTGATTGGATTTGCCCACAAATTATGGGTCCTTGGTGATTTGGGCCTCCTCTTTAATTGTGTTGTTAGTTGGTTTGCCTTCCCTTCTAAGATTCTACTTGGTCCACTAATAACAACTTGTAAGTTGTAAGCCTTCGTGCTACAACAGAACCATGAATCACCAACCTTGATGAAAATGGCATTCAATTTAAAATATAAATAATAATAAATATAATTAAATAAGGCTAAGATATTACTTAATTACAACTATTAAACTAAACAAACTAAAAAATAAAGTCCACAAAATAATTTAAAATAATTAATTACAATTTATTAAGTAATTTATGAAATTAGTAAAATATTTGAATACTAATTATTCACTAAGGAAATAATAATTAAAGTGATTAAAAAAGGCTTACTTAATTACAGAAAAGAAAACCATGTTGTGCAGTATAGCCGAGCGGCTATACTGTTCAAACATTCGTATACATTTAGAGCGTATAGCCGATCGGCTATACTCTTTAAATATTAATATATTTTAGAAATACAGCCGCACGGCTATACTATTTTAAATATCAAATATATTTTAGCAGGATAGCCGTTCGGCTATACGCTTTTAAATATGAATATATTTTAGACGTATCGCCGTTCGGCTATACTATTTTAATATTAATATATTTTAACTGTATAGCCGCCCGGCTGTACCATTAAAATATTTGTGTATATATTTAACGAGTACATCCGCGCGTCGATTCTCTTTAAACATTAATATATTTAAGCCGTACCGCCGTGCGGCTATACTATTTTAAATGTTAATATATTTTAAAAGAATAGCCGGCCGGCTAGACTATTTTAAATGTTAATATATTTTAAAAGAATAGCCGACCGGCTAGACTATTCGTGTATGTAAAGGGTACAGCCGCCCGGCTGTATGCTTTAAATATTAATATATTTTAGAAGTATAGCCGCACGGCGATGCTGTTAAAATATTCGAATATACTAGAAGGGTATAGCCGCCCGGCTATACTATTTAAATATTAATATATATTCCTGATCTAACAAAAGATTCTATAGAAGGTATAACTTGATGGATGCATTTGCTACAATGCTATAAATTCCACCAAATATGTTAATCCCCTTCACCCCCGCAACAAAAGGTGCCATTTCCTCATCTTTGAGTGCAATCTATGGGTAGAGAAACATAAATGAAATGTAAGGTTCATTTTCAAGAAAATGTGGCACTCAGAAAAATTGGTTCTTAAGGAATTAATTCCTTTAAAAAGCAGTAGGGTATAGTCATTTCTGTGTTTAGTATCTCCCTCCAAATCAAGAGAGAAAAGTTACACGAAAGCAGTAGTGTATAGTGTTTCCAATATGCTAAAGCTGGAGATGAGCTAACCTAAGTTTGCAGTAAGTGAAATAATGAAATCATCTGGTTCTTCCGCACACTGGTCTTCCATGTATTCACTGTTTGTCATTTCTTGTTTAAACCACAATTTTCAGTCCTATGATGTTATTCTTATCGCAAGACAATTCTAACAGGTATCGCTCTCAAACTAGACTCTACTTGTGAACTTCTCACATACCTGCATATGGAAAATTGTCTCCAATTGCATCTCAACACGTAAAACCTTGAGGCAGTCAATTACCAATTTTCTATACTCATCTGCAAATGATGCTAGATCCCTAGATGCAGCACTAGTTGTTCGGTTTTACGATTCTTGCCACTCTCTTCTACTTGATTTGGAGCTTTGAAGGTTGTATGCCCAACCCTATGTAATGCATAAAATTGTGCTCCATTTAAGCTATCATAAATAAATTGCTACTGAAAAGATTTAAAAGCCAACTTTTCAATGAAATATGAAACAAATGTAGGATGCCAAACTGAATAAAAATATCAAACTGAATAAGAATTGATTTGAAAAGTAGTTTGCTTATCCTGACTACAAAATTTTGACGTATAAATATTCGTAGTGTTGAGTATTACACGTACGATGGCATTGATAATTCAATTCCCTTAAAGTCAAAGTCTGTCAACCACTTTATAGATTTTAATAACTCCAGATGTGTATCCTTTCGAGAGAGCCAAATCATATGTCTTTGTGGTAGAAAGTTAATTGGAAGCTGACTTCATACCGAGACTGTGATCAACTTACAGAAAGAAATTGCATCGAAACGCAGTTTGCCAATGTTGACCAAGAAAACTTATGCATCCAGTCCAGTGTGGCAGCATGCAGCATGCAGCATGCAGCAGAGAACTAGAAATAAACATGATGCCTAATAAGTAATTAATTAATGATCATCTCTCTCCAAGAAATGCAAACTGATTTGGATTTAAAGAAAATGCGAAACGGTTTAGGTTGTAGAAGCATCTTACAGCAGAGCATGTTAGCTAGCTAGGATTCTTAGGTTGTGTAAAATTTTGGCCTTAAACTATATTTATATATCCTAAAAGTCTGAAAAGATATATGGGATTGAAAAAGACATAAAAATAGTACAAGCTGTTTATCTCAATTTGTATCCTCTCTTCTATAAAATGCCACTATATAATCCACCTTTTTTAATACTTGGCTTTTAGTAGAGGACGGTCGAAAACCATTACGTTAATTTAGAAATTCAAATTTATTTTTCTCATCTAAACGCACTCGTACTCGCACTGTAATTGAAAAACTATTACCTACCACAAAATACCATGACAAAGCTCATAAGTAGCTCAATGAGGGAGAATTATTATTTTGTTCAAAACTGGTAGCTTAATTAATTAATAAACCAATTTAAAAAACTCAACCAACCCCACCACCACACATACAGATTCTTTTAGCACTTTGCCCTCATGGCCTATCCCAATCAAATGGTTATCAAATATCAATTTGCATATGTAATGAGTTGGTTTTGGTCCTCCTTATCTTCATTCTTGCCATTTTTATTGGAGAAAAAGAAGTTTATGTAAGCTAGCTCACCTTTAGTTGGTGAAAAGGGGCTGGCTGACCGAGCAAGTAATTAATTTATATATTTTCCTAAAGATTTCTTGCTCTTGCCATCTCTCGATCTTCGCCACATGTTTGCAGTGGTCTAAAACTACAACGATTTTGTGCTGTCCCTGATATGCGAAGATACTACTGAGTTAGTCCAAGTTTGTCTTGAATAAAGAGCTCACACCACCAACCCACCCATATTTTGAGACTCCAGCAGTTTACATATATATCAGAATCAAATATTGGTGAAGGAAATGACAACAGGGTTGATTAAAATATGACAAATCCCAAAATTAATATTTAAGAATAGACTCCTGGTATAATGAGAGAGAGAGAGAGAGATTCCATATTAGTCGGCTCCTCTTCTTGATAGATAAAGGTTTTCGACACATAATTATGAACTATAGCAGCCAAGCTTTCAAACAAATTTCTACCTTTTGAAAACTCATTTTGACATGTTCATTGTCTGCTGCCTCTCCTCACCTACCCATCTAGCGTCACAAAATGTGTCTCTACATAAATTTATTAGTATATGTCAATGTTAATCAATAAAAAATAAAGTACCCCAATAGAAGTTAGGCATGTATATAAAAGGGGGGGCTTGCATGAAAGTTTGGTAAACTCAATTGGGGCATGCAATATACAGAGTGACTGCCAAGGCTGCTCTTGAGGTTCTAGTTATGGAGGGTTTAATCCAGCATTATAGGTTATTTGTGGTAATGCTAATGATACTTGCTGGGGCTTTACCATCTGGTTTTTCGCGAACAACCCAACGCTTTCAATTTAATGTAAGCTAGAGTAGAGAGTGTCAAATTTTGTCTCTCTTGCATTCTGTGATCACCAAAAGAAATCAAAGTATGAAATTGAAAGCTTGAATTGTGGTCTGGTTTTCAGGTTGAGTGGAAAAATGTAACCCGTTTGTGCAGCACAAAGCCACTTCTAACAGTGAATGGAGAGTATCCTGGGCCAACCATTGCTGTCCATGAAGGTGATCATGTTGAAATTAAGGTGACTAATCACATTGCAGACAACACCACCATCCACTGGTGAGTTTGATTACAATAAATACTAATTGTGAATCTGTGATTGTATTGGTATTGGACACTAATTTTGTTAATTAAGAAACAACTGATTTGTTGCTAATTATGACAGGCATGGTATAAGGCAACTAAGAACAGGATGGGCAGACGGTCCAGCTTATATCACACAATGTCCCATAAGAGGTGGCAAGTCCTACACCTACAAGTTCACTGTACAATACCAAAGAGGCACTCTTTGGTGGCATGCACATTATGCTTGGCAACGAGCTTCTGTTTATGGCGCCTTTATCATCCATCCGCGGATGCCGTTTCCATTTTCAGCTCCAATTCAAGATGAATTCCCCATTATATTTGGTAATAACATCCAAACGCTTCATTGTTTGAACCATACATCTTTGTTTTCTAATTTTCTATTGGTAATTCTGATCATGAAAGCTCTGTTCTCACTCTCACCTCTGTATCTTGAATTGTTCACATTTGATCGCAGGTGAATGGTGGAATGGAGATGTAGATGAAGTGGAAAATGAAATGGTGAAGTATGGAGGTGGGCCTAATATTTCAGATGCTTATACCATAAACGGTTTGCCAGGACCATTCTATCCTTGCTCCAACAAAGGTATCCAAGAATTAATCTTCCGCCACTTTTTTTTTTGGTTCTCTTTTCTACATGATTGCACTTTACAATTATACAGCACATTCCATAGTTCTAACTAAAGTTCCAACTATAAGAGACAAAAATCTTCAATATAGTCTGTAATTCATCAAAACTGATTGTACTAATTAGTACATGATTGATTTTGCAGATACCTTCATCAAAACTGTGGAACATGGCAAAACTTACCTGCTTAGAATCATCAATGCAGCACTCAATGATGAGCTTTTCTTCGCTGTGGCTAACCACACATTAACGGTTGTGGAGATTGATGCAGTGTACACCAAACCATTCACAGCCACAGCCATTATGGTAGCTCCTGGTCAAACTACCAATGTTCTGCTCACTGCAAATCAAGTTCCTGACTCCTCCGGCACGTTTCTAATGGCAGCCTGGCCTTATCTCACTTCCGTTTTTCCTTTTGATAATTCTACCACAGCTGGCTTCTTGCGTTACAAAAACACAGTGACTGAAAACATTAAGCATCCGCAGAAGATGCCTAGTACTTTTGAACCAAACAAATACAACCTTCCTAAAATGGAAGACACCAAGTTTGTGACTAAATTTTCTGACAAGCTCAGAAGCCTGGCATCTCCTCAGTATCCATGCACTGTACCTAAAACTATCGACAAGCGAGTTGTGACAGTTGTAAGCCTTAACCTTCAAGACTGTCCGGCTAACAAGACCTGCAAGGGGTATGAAGACAAGAGATTCTTTGCTTCAATGAACAACCAGTCCTTTGTCCGTCCCTCCTTGTCAATATTGGAATCTCATTACAACAAACTCCGAAACAATGAGTACTCCACCGATTTCCCAGAAAAGCCTTTAAAGCCATTTGATTATACAGGGGTGGATCCAGTGTCAGAGAACATGAACACTCAATTCGGTACAAAAATTTTGGAAGTCCCTTTTGGCACAAATTTAGAAATTGTGCTGCAGGGTACAAGTTTTCTTAATGTGGAGAACCATCCAATTCATGTTCATGGCCACAACTTCTTCATAGTCGGAAGGGGGTTTGGGAACTTCAATGTTGCCAAGGATCCAGCAAAATACAATCTAATTGACCCTCCAGAAAGAAACACAGTGGCAGTTCCAACTGGAGGATGGGCTGCAATTCGATTCAAGGCCGACAACCCGGGAGTATGGTTCATTCATTGTCATCTTGAAGAGCATACTTCCTGGGGTCTTGCCTCAGGCTTAATTGTCCAAAATGGTCCAAGAGCATCTCAGTGTGTGCTTCCTCCCCCTAAAGATCTTCCCTCATGTTGAGGTGTTTGCAGAGACAACTCGAAGTGTTGTTGTTTAACAAAACTTTGTCACACCAGTCTGTAGGCTGGAGCCATACTTTTCCTAGTGTTTGCAAAGCTTTAGGTGAGCATACGCTTTGTACTTTTTTTCTTTTTTTTGGTGAACATATAGGTTTTGTACTATTTTTTTCTGTATAATATACAGGTTTTGTACTCTTGAGTATTATGAACCAGAAACATGCACTGAAATGAATTGCAAAAATCTGGATATTGCTCTAGTAGAAGTTCTGTTGAGACATGAGAATGGCTCTCAAGCTCTTAAGAACTACATGCTTTTGGGGGGTTACAGTCTAGCTAGAGTATATTAATGGAGCCTTTTTATCTCTGCCTCTGTGTGTGTGGTGTGGGTGGGTGAAGGTAAGGTAATCAAAGGGGAAATGTATGGAACATTTTCAACAAAGTAATCAATCACGATAAAAGAATGATGTCCTTCTCATGATTATGCAATTGAAAAACTGGATGTATGTATACATACATATACATATATGCTTTTTAGGATCTCAAAGCAAAGCAGCCAAGGAAAAAGGAAAGTCCCCCAGTCCCCTCCCCTGGATGGTCTTGAATCTTTGATTAACAAAAGGGGGTGATGTGCTTGCCAATACAAACAGAACAGGAATCAGGATCGACTTTTTTTGGTCTTTTTGTTTCAATAAGAAAGAATACCAAATGGTTGCATAACTTAGATAATTATAAGATGATAAAGTGATCTTTAACATATTTATTGAAGGAAGTCCTTTCTGGTATAAAATATATCTTTAATTCCCCTCTTTTCAAAGCCCTTTCTTTTCCCTTAAATAATTACAATAACAATAGTAATAGTAATTTCATTTATAAACGACAAGTAAGATATCATACAAAAAGAAAGAAGCAGCAGCTTTCAAATATAAAAGAGAGAGAGAGTGAGGCTTTTACATACGCATGCAACTCGTATTGCGCCTGCGGTACATGTCCAAGCAGTGGCAGATTCAGGATTCTTAGGCCATAGGTTCATTGTGTAAAAGTTTGAAAATTAGTTTTTAGACGAAATTACATTGAAACATTAAAGCAATAGAACTTTCATTCCTAATCAACTAATCAAAACCCAACCCTAATCAATTATTCAAAACACAAAACCCTAATCAAATATTTTAAATGAAAAAAAACAACCTAAACAGATTTTAGTCACAATGCTTTTAGTCATCAGTGACTGAGTGAGAGATGAAGATTTCTTCCTAAACAGATTTTCCTTGTTCTTTGGTGGTCTTCCCCTATTACTCTGCAAATTATTTGTAAATAAAAGAGTCAAATACTCAGTTTGCCAGTAAAACCGTAAACATATCTTAGAGAGAGAGAGAGAAAGAGTGAACCTTTGGATGTTGGTGGGCAAGAGGAGCTCTGTTTCTGGTCTTGAAGAACAGCCATTTGGCTCTCTCACTTTGTGGTTATGGAGGAGAGGGAATATGAAAGTAAATTGCTAGGTTTTGGGGATGATGAGGCTGCTGGAGTAGGGAAAAGGAGGTGACAGCGTGAGGGTTTTCTTAAAAAAAAAAAAAAAAAAAACAACCAAAGCCCGCCTAGGCCGGAAATATATATATATATATATATTTTTCCCCTGATGATTCAGTCGCCTATAATTTGTGGTGATACACTGGAATTGGCGTAATTGTTTATAGTTGGTGCTCTTCCTTTTGAAATATGAAGCGAACGAGTATGGGACAAGAGGAGCACTGTTTCTGGTCTTGAAGTACAGCCATTTGGCTCTGTCACTTTGTGGTTATGGAGGAGAGGGAATATGAAAGTAAATTGCTAGGTTTTGGGGATGGTGAGGCTGCTGGAGTAGGGTAAAGGAGGTGACAGCGTGAGGGTTTTCTTTAAGTCAGTCAAAAAAAAAAAAAAAAAAAAAAAAACCCAGAGCCGCCTAGGCCGCCTAGGCGGATTTTTTATTTTTTATTTTTTTCTCCGATGATTCAGTCGCCTATAATTTGTGGTGATACACTGGAATTGGCGTAATTGTTTATAGTTGGTGCTGGGATGGTGAGGCTGCTGAAGTAGGGTAAAGGAGGTGACAACGTGAGGGTTTTCTTTAAAGTCAGGAAAAAAAAAACCGCCCAGAGCCGCCTAGGCCGCCTAGGCGGATTTTTTTTTTCTTTTTTTTTTCCGATGATTCAGTCGCCTATAATTTCTGGTGATACACTGGAATTGGCGTAATTGTTTATAGTTGGTGCTCTTCCTTTTGAAATATGAAGCGGACGAGTATGGGACAAGAGGAGCACTGTTTCTGGTCTTGAAGAACAGCCATTTGGCTCTGTCACTTTGTGGTTATGGAGGAGAGGGAATATGAAAGTAAATTGCTAGGTTTTGGGGATGGTGAGGCTGCTGGAGTAGGGTAAAGGAGGTGACAGCGTGAGGGTTTTCTTTAAAGTCAGGATAAAATATAAAAAACCGCACAGAACCGCCCAGAGCCGCCTAGGCGGTATTTATTTTTTTTTTTTTTTTTTTTTTTTTTTTTTTTCCGTTCCGATTCTCAGTCGAGATTTGTGGTGATACACTGGAATTGGCGTAATTGTTTACAGTTGGTGCTCTTCCTTTTGAAATATGAAGCGGACAAGTATGGGACAATTGTTAGAGTTGGCCTCCGTCTTCCCCAACATAGATTCTATGGGGACTACGTTTCCTGCTAGAGCAAATACCCCATTCTCAGTGTACAATACCGCCAACAGTTTTTACCAGAGAAATTATTCCAGTAGTTTCGCGGTCATTCCCGCAAGAAGTGCAGTGAGACATCATGCCCAACTTGCTTGGAAAAAGCTCTCCGATAGATTTCCTTTTAATGGTGGTGGATTTTCAGGTATAACTAATATTGCTCAAGCTTTCAGCTTGGCTGTAACCGGCTCTAATCTCATACCTGCTGGTATTTTTGCCATCAGCTAGCATGGCCGCAGAGGTCTTCTTCAGAAACGGACTACCACCCATTCCAAGAGCTTTACTGTTTTTACGGCATACCCTTTCCCTTTGAGTCTCTGAACTGATCCTGTATTTGAGTAAGTTTGAGGTTGAGTATCAGCTATCAAGACTTGGACATAGGCAGAAGAAGATAAACAGTTAGCTAATTACACAACAATTTGGCAAATGAATTGCAAAGTGGATACGTACAAGTTAGAACCAACCAACCTGGAAATGAACCAAATAATGAAAGCACAGCAAAGAAAAGATAACTTGAAAAGTTCCAAGTGTGAGAAGTCTTTTGTTCACTTTCTGCAGGGCAACAATGACTCTTGTGCTTTATGTCTAAAGTCGATTCCACTGCGTTAAAATAATACCTAGGCTTCGAACTTCTCGCTTTGCTAAGGCTTGAAGAACAGTCAAAGATGATGGAATCGTTACTTTCGTCTTTCCAAGGTTGTCAATGTCTTCTAGGTAATAACAAATTAGTAGTGGGTGGTAACCCAGTTGATGAATTACATTAGTGAAACGGGCAAACGAATGAAAGAATAAAGTTGCACACAAATACACAAAATCGATGAATTTTCTATTAGCCTATGAGTTATTTAAGCATGTTTGATTTGTTGCTAGACTTGGGAACCCAAATGCTTTCTTGACTTTAGGGTTTAGAACGTTATTTATACATGAGACATATAGACGTCTTAGCCTCGTAAAACAATTTTATTTTAATATATACACACACATCTGATAGTGTAAATGAAGGTGGATTCACTTGGATGCAAGAGAACAGATTCACTACTATGGATAACTAACTGACCTAACTCATGCTTGCAAATTGCAATCTCGTAAAGCAAACTTAATTTCCCTACGAATGATTTGTTCATGATACTAATTTGCTAATCGTCACCAACTTTATCCACATTGTATAGATACTGGCACAAATAGCACAGTGCTAAAGTTAGATCTACAATTATAAACAGTATTCGACCCACAAAACATTAAAAAAACTAGCAAACAGCCAAACCAGTCCCAACCCCACCCTTCCTTTTTTTCTCACTCTCGTCTGCTCCTACACACACCCACCACTAACAGATATTACTTTTCTTTCATTTATATCACCCTCCTCCTCAAGTGCCTCTAACCCCGCCTTCCCCCACACACACCATTATTGTTTGTACAGAAAAAAGAAAACCCAAAAAACCAAAAGTACAAACCCACAAGGCTGAAGGCCTGTCCTCTCTTCCAATGTCCCCAGCAAACCCACCGCTCTTCACCATCTTCTGCTTCCTCTGCACTCTCTTCCCTGCCTTCCCGGGTTCACCCATACCCGACCCGGCCCCGTCCCCAGTCCAGTCGTCATTCCTCCCAACCCGAACTCCATATCCCCCTGCTGCTACAATCCCTGCATTCCCAGAACAATCTGACATAGCCGGGTGCCCGCTCCACCTCCCAAATGAGCTCTTTCACGGCATAAAGTCCGCATGCTCCGCCACAAAAGGCGACTCCTTAGGGAAGCTGCAGCACAGCAGGTGCTGCCCTGTGCTTGCGGCGTGGCTTTATGATGCCTACTCTGCCACCGCCCTCGGCGGAGGCGGCAGAGTGGGCCCAGCAGCGGCGGGTCACAGCAACACCACTTATGACCCGCCATTGCTGCCAGATGACTCAGAAACTTGCGTTCAGGACCTGGGCGAGGCGCTGAAAACCAGAGGAATAGAACTGATCAAGCCAAATGAGACGTGTGATGTGGTGTATTGTTATTGTGGGATAAGATTGCACCCTTTGAGTTGTCCTGAGGCATTTTCAGTGAACCAAAGGGGGAAACTTGTTGGGGATGCGAGCGTGAAGCGGTTGGAGAGAAATTGCTTGAGCAGCAGTGGATTTCCGGGTCTTGGTGGCTGCTCCAAATGCTTAAAAAACCTCCACCTTGTAAGTAAATCCTTTCTTCTTTCTAATTGCAAAGTTTCTATCTTTGTTTGAATTTTTTTATAATTATAGCTGTAAGTAAATCCATCACTTTTTATTTATTTATTTTGATTTCCACAAATTGAAGAAGAAGAAGAAGAAGAAGAAGAATCTGATAAGGGTTTCTTCTAGGTCTTCTTCCAAAGTTCCATGCTTGCTAATTAGGAAAGTGCTTATGCTTATGCCTTTTACTTTCTTTGCTAAAACTTGTACTATAACCGCAGACGCGCCATGAGAGCAAGTGTATTACATTTACATGCTAGATATACATAACAAATAGTGAGAGTGGTACTATTACAATTAAATTAGCACGACAAGAAACGACTGGTGAAGTGAGTGAGTATATTTATTAATTTCTGGTATGTTGTTGGTTGGGAAGGAGATTAGTTAGGTTCGTTTATTCATTTGGAATATTGATGACTCTTGAAGGCTCTAGTTTAATGTGCATCAACAAATATGCTTGCTAGCATGAATTTGATTTGATATTGCACCTACTAATTAGTACATTAAACTTCACGCACCAAACCTTTGTTTGCCCAATCAATGAGATGACCATCTCTTTCATTTGCTTCTACCAAAATTCTAATTGGGAAATTGATGTTGTGCAGCTTAACAAGAAGAAGACTTTCAATTCAAGCAAATTAGAGGACAGGACCACCAAAATGCACAACAAAGATTGTCAGCTGATGGGTCTCACATGGCTACTTGCTAAGAATCGAACGGCTTACATCCACACAGTTACATCTGTGTTCCGGGCCATCATGTTAAGCGCCGATGGCTCCGATCCTCAATCATGCACTCTCAACAGTGATGGAATGCCTCTAGCCGTCGATTCTTCTGAAATATCTGATAATTCCTCATCCAGTATCCTTGCAGCTTCCATCTCTCTCTGCGTCATGTCACTTTCTTTGTTATTTGTGCAGCTTACCCTATGCTCCATCCAAAGTTAGTTCAGGGCTAAGCAGGTTGCTGTTCAAAAATTTGTGAACCGTGGTCCATCAGATTTGTGTATTCTTTTGTACTCTGTACGTTTTATGACATGACCAATTGCTTGCCCTATGCATTGGATACTTGATGTGCTCTGCTAAAATTGAAAGTTTTTTTCTGTGATTCCCCAAAAATAGGGAGGATTTTTGCCCAAAAACATCTCACGTGGGCTCTGCTAACATGTCTCAAAGGGCTGCTGTTTTGTTTTGAAGAGACAAATTATGGGTGCTGCATGTAACTTCTTTGGTGGCATTATTTTGTGACAGTTGTGTTCTTCACGGGAAATTTTTTAAATGTCAACATCTCCAACAAGGGGCCTTTTATCTTCTATGGTTTGGTATACGCAGCAGCAGAAAGGTAAGGATTTGAGCCAGCCAGCAGTGTGGAGCTGCATACAAAACGCCAAAATTCCATTCTCTCCCCTATCACTCTAATTCCCAAAATGAATTTGGTTAAAAATCAGTAGCATATGTAACCCAACCAAAACAAAAACAAAAAAGAGCAGAGACCCCACCCGCAATTCAGTTTGACGATCAAGTGGATATTACTTGGAACAACCTAGCAAAGTTCTAACACTGCTTCAAAATAAGCTTTAAAAATATATGTATATACAAGCGGTATTGAGGGAGGGAACATAAGACAACACAATAGTACAATGATAACGGCTTTTAACTATTTAAACTACAAGTCCTGACAAGTCCCTTGATAAATAAACTTGGCCAAACTATTTCACTTGGTTTTGTTATTTTCGTACGATCCATTTACATGGTGGGTTGGGCTTGGCTGGAGGTCAGGTCTTTGAATTCTCACACAAGCCTAGCACAACCAAGGACCATTTTAGCTTTAGACATGGCCCAATAAGTGTTATGTCAAGCCTTATACCTTGCGTGCTCGGCCTTGTCTGGTTCCAATGACAATCAAAACCTTGAATTGTTATTCATTTCCAAACCTTAAAAATGAAAATCGATCGTGCATCGCCAAACCTCCCTTCTGTTAGCGGTCCTACAAAATCTAGAACTTAGGGATTTACTATATAAAAAGTTTGGTGTCCAAGGCATATTTTCACCCTGGCTGGTTCGGCCTGCCTGCCTAAATTAGACCGAAGCCCTTGTCTGTGCCAATATGCCACTGTCTGACATGCTCCTATTGGTATGCAGAATCTGTTGGGCCCTGTTGGCAGAAGAACTGGGGGCCCATTATCAACTTTTCCAGTATTATGCTCACACCATTGTCTTTCAAACTGCCCCATTATCTTCTAAAACATTTTTGTAGAAAATCTTTCAGGTCATTGCTGACGGGAAATTTTCATTACCTATTTCAGCAAACCTCCAGAATGTACAAAAGAAAATAACACACCCAGTTGGAGTGACAAAGAAGGCTGTGCTGTGGTGCAGCACGGCTCGCATTTACAATCTGTACCCTTCTCAAAAACCCACTGATTTTTCCCGTGGACTCCATAAGAGCTGTTTGTCCTGACCTGAGTTCATGCTTATCTTGAGGTTGCATGAGAAGGGGGTGGTCCGAAACTCCCTACTGTTGGCTAATACATGTGTACGGTGGTGGGTTGTAACGGACGGTGATGATTCCGCCATCTGGATGGTCTGAAACAAGGAAATGTTGGTTTCACATCTAGAGTGGCTGTACACGTGTTGCTCTCTGCTTCACGATGCTTTTTGATGGCCTATGCATGTACCATAGATTACACATACTCCATGAGGGCCCATGTCACTTTGACCCTCCTATATAAACCTTACCCCTCCTCTGCCCTCCGCGCACCACAGCAAGTCTTGCTTAGCGCTTTTTAGCTGCTTCTTCCTCTTTACTCTCTCTTCCTTCCTTCCTGATGGCTGCCTCCGTTGATCCTCTCGTTGTTGGGCGAGTGATCGGAGATGTGGTGGACATGTTTGTCCCAACTGTGAACATGTCTGTCTACTTTGGGTCCAAGCATGTCACCAATGGCTGCGATATCAAACCTTCCATGGCCATCAACCCCCCCAAGATCACAGTCTCTGGTCAGCCCGGCGAGCTCTACACTCTGGTCTCCCACCTCTTTAACTCTTTTTGTTTCTGTTCGCATGTGATTAATTGTATATATGTATGTGGCTGCGAGAGCCGTTAGATCAACTTGATCCTTTTGCATGCATGACATGAGAGAGAGTTTTTAAATGTTCAATTTCTCTATGTCTTAAACACCTTTGTTGTTTGTTCAAGCAGGTGATGACTGACCCCGATGCTCCGAGCCCGAGTGAGCCGAGCATGAGAGAGTGGGTCCATTGGTCAGCTTTCTTCTTCTCTTTGCATGGATTATGTTTTGCTTAATTTTCATTGATCTCACTACTTTTCCTTCCATCTCCTTAATGGCGTTGTCAAAAACTTCATGCACATTGTTGTTTGTGGTTTCAGGATCGTGGCTGACATCCCTGGAGGAACAAGCCCTGTTAGAGGTAAAATCTTCACTTTGTTGTTGCAGCTTTTCATGCACGCTGTAACAAGGCTTCTTCATATAATCCCCATAACAAATTTACATAAATCTAAACAAAATTTAATATTACATAAAACAAGTTTTTAGTCATGTTTGTGCTGAAAAGTCGTGCAGAGGTATTATTCCATTCTTCACAGTCGACACAGGCGTCAAAGAAAGAATCTCTGGCGAAAGGCTCATTTCCAGTCAAAATCAGAAACATGCATGTCTTTGGCTTCGAACGTTTTTCAGATTGTTTCATAAAATCCATAAAATTCTTCACGGTTACATCACATCAGTGGATGTCCCCTCCATATTCTAGAAAAACATGCATCTACTCCTATACCTCTTAAGCATCTGTCACTAATAGCCGCAAAATTGCCCAAATTTGGTAATACAATTTTGCGTAACCACGTGTCCTGCAGCAGCACGCCCCCTTTCCAATTTCTCTATCTTATTTGTATTTGCTTCAAAATTAGTATTTTTATTTTAATTAAAATATTTTTCTTTCATTCAAAAATAAATGTCGAATAAACTAGTTTAAAATTTCTTCCTAAATGCAAATGGTGTTGTCGTCCTTGCATAGCAAAGACGACACGTGGTTAATCCCAGGAACACCTACCCACTTACTGACACGTATGTGCCACTTGTCAAGGTTACCTTGTCGAAGTGGTAGTAACCGCTTACCACGTCGGTTACACGTGGCACGATGTCTGTGTTTCTGGGTAGTGCAAGTAGAAGCACACGAATAAGGACTTCAACGCCAACTTGTTGAAGTTTGAGCTATTTTGGGTGAATAATGAATATATAGCAACAACAATAAATAATATTAATTGGAGCTAGATACTAATTATTAATTAATTGTTGCAGGGAAAGAGATACTGGCTTACGTGGGTCCGAGGCCACCAGTGGGAATTCACCGCTACATTCTGGTGCTGTTTCAGCAGAAGGGTCCGATGGGGCTGGTGGAGCAGCCGTCCTCTCGTGCGCACTTCAACACTCGGTTTTTCGCTGCGCAGCTCGACCTTGGTCTGCCTGTTTCCACCGTCTACTTCAACTCCCAGAAGGAGCCAGCAAACAGGAGGCGCTGATCAGCTAGCTCAGCGTTCATTCCATATAATCAATCATATCATACAACTGGAGATATCAAGTGGTGTGGTGATGATGTGTGAAGTGATCATGAATCAAGGAATAAGAAGTTCATGAGATATCATTAGTGCAAGAATTTAATGAATAAATAAGGATGAGAGTCTACCCTGTTAATGTGTCTTCACTTAAGTTTTTATTATAGATTATGAATGTTAATTACGTGTAGCCAGCTAGGGAGGGGGTGTTTCTCACTCTTAATTATAACTCTCTCTCTCTCTCTCTCTCTCTCTCTCTCTCTCTCTCCCCCCCTATTTTAATTTGCCTTTAATTTCAATAGAAATAAATAAAGCCCTTCTCCTTTTAGTTTAAATATGTCGAATATGGTTGATGTGGATGCTTGCTTAAACTTGCTTCTAACTAGCGACCAGCATGAACAAAATCAACATATATAATTAACAGACCAACATCTACAATATGCGATACAGATAGACATGTACCGTAAACCAAAAAGATAAAAGGAAAAAGGAAGTACAAATTGGCATATACCAGACTGCAGTACAGACGGACAAGTCCTTCAGCATACCAGTAAGTGAAATGAAGGTAAAGCCTGGCGATGTTTACAAGGAAAATTGAATTTATAATCTTTACGAGTACTTTAGCTAGGTGTGTAATTGTCTTCTCTCAAGTGAAAGAGGGCTTACTAAAGGTCAAGAGACAGGTCATAAGACATAATGACTTGATACGAATTTGATGGTAAAGATTAGCGCAACTTCTATTTGAGACAGATGGAAGATTTAGGCCCGTATGGGATTGTTTTTTGGCCAAAATTCTGTTTTACTTTAAAGTTAAGCAGTTTAAGGTGTTTGCTAAAAATAAAATATTTCGATTATTTTAAAAACAGTGGCCTTTTGACAGTAGCCGTTTCTAAAAGCAGGCTCCGAGTTGCTTTTCAAAAAGCTACTTTCAAAATAAGCAGAGATGAACTTTTGATGAATTTTTTTTAATTCCCAAAATAGCATCATTCTTTTTAAAAAAATGACACCACCTCCACTTCCACATCCAACTCCACCACTTGCACCAACACATTCACTATCTCCACAACCACTACCACCGCCACCACCACCACCACCACATCCTCCTCCTCCTCATCCTCCACCAACACCACCACAACCACCACCTCCACCGCCACCTTCTCCACCTCCACCCCCACCACCACCACCACCACCACCACCACCACGACGCTGCACTGCCATCACCACCTCTTCCACAACCGCCATCCCCACCACTACCATTACCACAACCACCAGCACCACCTCCACTCCATCACCACCACTACCACCACATGATTAGTACATAACACTTTCAGCTATCATGTCTATTTTAGTCATTATTCACTGGCAATTTTATATTAAAATTTACCAAATGGTTTTCACACTGTTTTTTGCACTAACAGTACTTCAATTTTTTTATTTACCAAACATGGAGCTTCTTTACTTTACAATTAATTATTTTCAAAACACAGCAGAAGCGACTTAAAAGTGACAGCAATCCCAAACTAGTGCATGATAGACACTTGTCAAAAATAAGCGATGTTGCTAGATGTCTATTTGAGACGCAACGTCTTTTCGAGTCAGATAGAAGATTTAGTGCATGATGGACGCTTGTCAAAAACTAAGTGATGTTGCTAAATGTTTTTATTTTCTAGTGTACTTTTTATGTTTACGAGGCTAACGGAACCTAATTTATTGTTGTATCTCGGATTTTTTATGAGTCCAGTGCATGTGGTTAACATGTTCTCAAGTGTAAGAGATTACTATATAGCTCAAGAGACGTTTCGTAGTTGATAATGGTTTGATTTAAATTTGACAATAAAGATAGGCGTAACGTATGTTTAAGTCATAATGAATTGTCCATGCACAACATATTAAGAAAGGAAAGTAATATTCATATGTTCTTAATTATTCTATTTGAATTTTGTGTTTATATGGAAAATTAGACCTAATTGATGTGGTTAGGTTCTCATTGACAGAGAATTTGAAAAAGGTTTTGAAGGTAATGAGAGACATATCATGATAGACGCGCCTAAAAAACGATAGTAGAGTTTGTAAGGTGTCTTTATTTTCAATATCATTTCACGTTTAGGTGAAGTTGGTTGGTTAATTTGTGTTACTTGTGTTCTACTTTGAAACACTTCTCCCAACACATTGACTTGATTTTAATTTCATATTAAAGATTGGCATAAGGTCTACTTCATCTTATGTTTACAAATTACAAGGAATCTATGTTAACTATACACTAGTATTCATTAAGAAAAACAAAAATAATCAATCGATTTTTCTCGTGTCCTTCTTCCTCGCCCAATTACTCTCAACTCAATTAATCGGTTTGATGTCTGCTGCCTGGGATGGGGGCACCACTTATCAGGCTTGGGCCATTCTGGGGCTGTTCGTTATCTGTATAGTATTGATCAATGATTTGCATCAAATACTTCGAGTTGGCCCAATCGTTCCAAGCCCTGGTTTTAAGGTTAACGAAGAGACAGAGACTGGAAATTTGTGTGTGGTTTTCTTTTCAAAAGTATATAAGTAGTGCAACCATATATATCATATATCACTAGCTAGCTGTTTCATGAGAGAGAGAGAGAGAGAGAGAGAGAGAGAGAGAGAGAGAGAGAGAGAGAGAGATGACATACCAGATGGGGTTAACGTTGGAGAAAACGAAGGAACGAGGAAGTTGATGTCCATACAAAGCCCCCGTCAAGCAAACAGTTCTTACTAATACCTCAACTTTGTTGCCTGTTTGACCTTGATCTCAGCTTATTATTAGTTCATTACCACTAAATAATTACTATTCGATTTATGACCTAACCTTGAGATCTCTACTTACTCAATCAATGTTATAATAAAATTCAGAGGATTTAACTTGATTTCGATTTATCGGACCGGCGGCTATATGTATATACATAGATATATGTTAGTTTTCGTGAGTGTGTGTGGACAGGGAAAGGGTGCAGTGCAGATTCAGAATGAATAATTATGCATATAAATAACAAAAATGAAGTAGAAGTTCAAGGTCGAACAGACAACGAGATAAAGATATAACCTGAAAGAAAACTGTTCGCTTGACGAGGTTTAGCATGGAAATCAGTCACCGATTGTTATAGACATATGATGATATGATATATATATATATAGCTAGAAAGCGATCAAACTAATTATGGAAACCAATTGAAGCAGAAGATTATGGAGTGGGATTGAGGAGGAAGACTCTTGTACAGTGGGATTCAATTGCTTTATATACAGCAATTGCTACTCAAAGAGATCACACCACACCATGCGCGCATGTAATGATGTAGCTAGCCAATGAAGTTACCTTACCTATCTATCAGGCATTGACCTTCAGATGCATGTGTATATGTTTGTGTCTATGCGTGAGAGTGAGAGTGAGAGAGACGAAGCAAGCAAATTAAGCTAAAAGCTAGGGATTGAGGGTAGATGGGATTCCATTCCATGCAGCATGTATATTGAACGTATGGTTAGTTAGTTACGGACACATTAATTCCTAACACATAACACACTGAGAGGGAGAGAGAGAGAGAGAATATATAATTTGTTATGGTTAGTTAGATGGCAAAAGTTTTATATCATCTCCTACTCCTACCTACCCTCCTTCACCACCATCATCACCAATATTAACTAATGTGAATGAATTCAAGTTTCAACCCTCCCACCCCCACATCTTTTTATTCAAATGTTGCTCTTCAATCATTATAAAAGATATATATCTATATACAGTGTACTTAATTCATGGACATGGTCTCAAGTCAAGACGGAAAATGATGGATGGTTCACGATCACGAGTCATGACAAAAAAATCATCATGAAATGCGCATAGACTCAACGACTGAATTCTGTAATAATAAGCAGGAAGAGTTTCCAAGCAGCAGGAAGAAGATAAAGATTTAACTTAATTTCTTCTGCAAGCTTCAACATCTCTGTTCGGTTCAGCTACAATGAATTAATCATGTTGCTTTGCTTAGTATTACATTATTAAAGCAATATATTATATAGGAGGGCTAATTAATGCTGATGCAGAGTGAGCTTCTGGTGTGAAAATATCGGAATTCTTTCCAAGATTAGAGTACAATTAATATTCTCCATTTGATGAATTTTAAGTAATCAAGTTAATTAATGAGTAAAAAAGGCTATGTATCTTCCCATTAATGATTTTTCTATCAACCCCATCGATCGTTTTGTAAGTCGGTCCTACTCATATGATTAGGCTTTCCCTTTTCGTTTCGTTAAGCAATTGAATTTAATCTTTCTTAATACTTGATATATTTAATTACTTGTTAGTTAGAAACTAGTACCCTAGCTACCACCTACGCTAGGTACCATGCATCTTCAATACTGGAATTACTTGTTTATTACTTGCTTATTAGTTGTCATATTTCAACTGGAGTCAGATTATACTACGGTAGAAAACCTTGGCCGGCGTATACATTATTACTTACTACGGTAGAAAACAGAGCAGTGAGATTGTGAGACTAGACTGCAAGTAACAAGCAAGGGCAAGGCAAGGGGAATGAATCACTACTGTAGAAAACAGGGCACTAGGAAAAAGGAAAAAGGCCTACGGCTTCTGGTCCCATATCCGCTTTAACAAAATATATATATGCCGCACAGTGGTGGAATCTCATATGACCTAGTACCGATGGGCTTCTACTAGTTTCACGGTCGATCAAATATGGTCCATTTTCGTAATCAAGGCCTACGGCTTAAAGCTTAGCCTATGAGATATACTCAAATGCGATTGGTTGGCCCATGTAATTGGGTTTCTTCTAATTCTTCTTTAGAAAATAATAATAAAGTAACCAAAGGTATTAAGAAATTAGAAGGCTGATGAAGCCTCAGAGACAACCAGAAGGAACAAGTTAACAGCAAGAGAAAACGAAACAAAACATGGGGGAGAAGAATTGTATCATAGAATCAAATGAAGTAATAAGAAATTAGATTGAGAGTTCGTATACCGTACATTCTTAATAAGAAAAATAGGTAAAATAGGTTAGACAGAGAATACAAGGGCTTAATTCCTAAGTTTAAATGTTGACCTGATTGTGTGGTTATTAATGTAAAGGCTTCTAGATAGGTAGTAATTCATGTTGAATGGTAGATAGAACTACTACGAAGTCATGCATATTACACACACCTCTCTATCTCTGCTTAATTACGTACACATATAAACGGCAAACTGAGTCTGAATCACATGCATGCAAGTTGCAAGTCGCAACAACTACCAATGCGTGATTTATATTATTAATTAGGAACTGATTTCTCACCGTAATTATAATTTATAATTCTCTTCCCTTGAATGCTTGGTGCCACGTCTCTGAGTGCCGAGTACTTAAGTAATTATAATAATGTGTTGCAGGAGCGTGCAGGTAATATTGGAAACCGAAATCAGCTATAGTCATTGTCGAAATGAGTGCAGTTGATGTTTCCCTTGATCCCTTAAAGCATCTTTCATTAATTTAATAAGCAAATTAATTGTTGGCTATTCCCACCACGACCACAGGAGCCCTAGCTAGCTAGTCGCCCATGCTTTTGCGTACAATCTCTTTGTCTTGTTCTCTATTGTCAACGAACATCACCGACCCTTTGACAGAAATCACAGCAATTTACTCCAAATTAGCCTCTGTGACTCTGATATCTGATTCAAAATTGGGTATTTTCTTTCTCTGTAGGAAGGAGACTTCTCCTTCTGTCATGTTTCTCATTTAAGGTCAGAACAACTTGTACAGCAGTGGAATTGAGGTCAGAAAAACAAAGCATCCATGATCCATGTATGTAATCAGATTATTAAATTTGACTTGGAATGGTCGTTTATAATTGGGTTGGTCTATGCATGTGGGTGTGGGCGAAACAAGACTTGATGCACCAATATATTCAATTCAACTCAAGACTCAACCATATATAGGCAAAATTAAATTCGAGTCGTAAGATAAATATACCCAATATGCGTAAGATATTTGAATTTAGTTCGTTGCTCATGCATGATGCATGATGCATGATGCATGATGCTGGGTTCGCTGAGCATCCATTCAACGTATCCACCTTATCCATACATATTTTGTTCTTTAACCATCAGTCCAGAAAACCTCAGCCGCTTCTTATCTACATACACATTTTGTATTTTTCTTACTATAGATGACTAGGTACGATTATTGGGAGAGTAAGAATTTCAATATGATATATATATATATAGAATGAGTTTTTCTATTTAAACCCCACACTTCTCTTTGTTCACCCCAACTTCTAATTCATATTTTCACAATTTCTAAGAAAACCCCACTATCTTCCCAAACCACCCTCAAATACACACTCAGACTCAGAAAAAAAAAAAAAAAAAAAAAAAAAAAAAAAAAAAACATAACAGTTTTCGCAAAGTAACATCATTTCGCATCATCATCATAAATTAACATCAAAGGAACATTCTGGTCCATATATCGCAGTTTCTTCCTTATCTACTTGCTACCTGAAGTGTATAAAAAAAGAGAAGACTTGGTTTTTCTCTCATGAATAAATTAACATCTACCTTACCTTCAATGCACATTAATTTTATACGATTAGAAGATTAAAATTCAAAGATTTTACTGCACAAGCTCAACCTATTTGCATAAACTAATTAGTGAAAAATAAAAAATAAAAACATACTAGCATGACGAAGCTATCTATTTGAACTATTAATTTCACCTTGTCTCTAGCTCTCAGCTATGACAATATTCTTTCCCAGCAATACGTTGCAGAAAATAATAGAATCATAACCAAGCCCTGTACAAAATGTTTGACTAATATCAATATCCGAATGAAATTGGAAGGCCTATTGTGAGATCAAGATTGAGGTCGGGCAAAGCACTGCAGCTTGTGTTGCTTTCGGGTTCACTTGTAGAATCTAACAATGGATCATCAGAGTGAGAATTTTCACTTGGCTGATCATTTGTATTAATCCTGGAGCCAAATGATTTAGTATGGCCAAAATTGTGCCCTATTCGATGGTTATTTGGGTCAACTCCCATCTGTATTAGTTTTCTCTTTAGATGAGTGTTCCAGTAATTCTTCACTTCATTGTCAGTCCGTCCGGGCAATCTTCCAGCAATTAATGACCACCTGTAATTAGTACTTATTAATTAGTCATAAACTAAGCAAGTTAATTAGGTATTATTTATGCAAACAGAAACAGGGGCGCATGCATTACGAATTTGGTTCCTTACATGCCATGCCATGGTGCAATTAAACTTTCATTCAGATTCTAGCAAATGCATAAGTTCCAAATTAAAGAGGAAAAAAATAAATAAATAATCTCCTCTGATTTTCATCATATAAAAATATTCTCCTTTTATGTTTGCTCCCCGAATTTTCAGAAAAGCTACTATATATGGTATACAAAAGATGCCCTGCGCGCAGTACCTGTTTCCAAGAAGTGCATGGAGCTTGATGATGAGGTCCTCTTCATCCTCACCAAAGCTGCCACGTTTCAAGTCTGGCCTTAGATAATTTACCCATCTGAGTCTGCAACTCTTTCCACACCGATGCAAGCCTGCACCATTAATTAATTTTAAAACAAGTTTTTTTGAGAGCTTATAATAATTAATGTAATGTAAATATTTTTCAAGCAATAACAAGTGCAAAATTAGAGTGAGTTTTTATTTGTAATTTTATATATATACCTGCAGCCTGTGGTATGGAGCGCCAGCTACCCTCGCCGTGTTTTTGAATATACTGAGTAAGCTTCTCATCTTCTGGCTTGGACCATGCTCCTTTGTTCGTCTTTTTCTTCTCACAGCAAGGTTTCCTCATTCTTCTTTCTGATATTCAAATTCTTCTTCTAACAGCAAGAGAGGGAGAGAGAGAGAGAGAGAGAGAGAGAGAGAGAGGGCAGCTCACGGTGCCCAAGTGAGGGGTTAGAGCAATATAACAGAAATTTTCCAACTGCGCTTGACTTACAGTTGTGAAATTACTGCATGTCATCTGTCGGGGTTTGGTTTGATTTGGTTTGGTTTGTCCGGTACTATGCCAACCTTAATTTCTATTGTTTTATTTTATTTTTGGCCTTTTCATTTCTATTATACAATGGTTAAGTAAGATTCTGTGGACAGCCAGCTACTTCAAAATGTAAAAACCTTTATGCTTTCCCCATGCAATACCCCTAGTTTTGAGTAGCCATTAATGGTACATGGGAGACCGAATCAAGAAAATGTGTTGGACACACACATCCAAATGTTAAAAAGGGCCTTCATGTCAATTTTAAAAAAATTGAGGGCTTAAATGTAGTTGCATTGACCTAACAAAAATTAAAATAAAATAAAATGTAGTTGCATTATTAATTAGTTCAACTGAAAAATAAAACCAAATATAGAGCATTCTTGTTCGCCACTTTAACTAACAGTGTACAATCACTACCTTTCTCAACATTTGACATGTGTCTATGAGCATAACATGATTCCACAAATACAAAGTAAACAGTTAATTATGATTAGGCCCATGGACACGTGCCAAGTGTTAGAAATGGTGATGATGGTACACATTGAGTTAAAGTGGTGAGTAAAAATATTTCCAACCATATAAATATGACTCTTCTTTTTTTCGTTTTCCTTTTTTCTCTGACAAAAACCTAAAAAGTGTTAAACACACAAATGCTAGTAATAGATTGTTGCCAATAGGATTTTTCTAATTTTCTTTAAAATTTAGTAAAAATGGTATATAAAAAAACACAAAATAACTTTGAGATTATTATTTAGTGTAGTATTTGGGTTAGTTAAGGGTTAAGGATAATGAACTCAAACTGTATTATACGTATATTCTTTGCGTATATAGATAGTTATTCAGTTTTTGATTTGATATGCATATTCCATTAATATAAATTTTGGGTGGCTTCAATTCAAATATAGAATCTTGACAAGTCTCACGCTCACTGAGTCACTGGTAGGCGTACGTGCGAGTTGAATGGTAGATTCACAGGTGAGGTTTTGAGGAATTTTTGACAGGACACATGTCTTCCTTTCCTTGTGAGATTGCCAAGAGTGCTATTTCATTGAAACCATTTATATTCATAGCAACAAGGAAGGAATTGGACCACCATTTCGAAAAGGTCAACGTAAATATCCTAAGGAAGGAGGACCCATATGCTCAAGATTTTCATCCCTGAGATTCAAAAGAGTTGTCGATTTCGAATGCCAATGACATTTGAATTCCTCATTGTCGTTATTAAATACGCAAGAGAGAAAAAGATAAAATGTCTCGCAATTAGCAGACTCTATATAATAATCATATTCATTGATTCTCACAGTCATGATTACTTATATACTATTATCGCATGCCCAGGTCTTTAATTATCAATAGTAATAGCAAATAATTATGTAAAAACTTATAATTCCTTTTCCAAAGAGAAAAATATATCTTTATTTTTGTATGCGTGGTGTCTCAGCCCACAGCTGCAAAATATATAAGCTAGTTAGAGTTGGTAGAGATGAATAGAGTTGACCGTTTGACTGTTAGATTTTAAGGGGTCGATTTTCTCCTTTTGTTTTGAGATGTTTGGTAAGTCCTCACTCACATTCATGTATGGTTCCTTTTCCTTTTCTTTTCACGGTGATGCAATGCAAGGTATTGTATAAATTTTGCATTTAATCCTTTTTTCGCGGAAACAATTCGTTACTTTGAAGACAATGGCACAAAGCAGTCAAACATCTTTGTAATTGGTAGAGAGGTCCAAAATCTTTTAAATTCTTAAATATGTGAAAAAAATTTCGATGTAAGATATTCTCAACAACAATATGTGGAAATTATCCCCGCAATAAAAGTATTCTATATATTGAAAGATCTTCATCATTTATGTTTGAATTGGAGGGGTGTACGTTTGAAAAAAATCTTCCACTATATGTAGCTAAGTTTGATATTAATAGAAAAGTAAAAAAGCAGCACGAAGAAAAGGTTGAATCAAGACTATAGGTAGCTATTTTACATTCTTGAGCATTAGGTCAGGTTGGTTAACAATTCGATCTTTACGTCCATATAACCCTCTTCAGTAGTCATTGCTTTTGGAGGATTTGGTAATGAATCAGAGCTTCGACTTCTCACTCAAAAAGAAGCTGGATTTTTCATCATTCACATGCATGTTTGCAGCTCTTAGCTTGTTCTTCTTTTCTTTTTCTTCAATGAAGATTCTCGACATAAAAAAAACCACGTTTTACTTCAAGCAAGGAAGAATGCAGTCACGTGTATACATTCAAGACATTAGCTAATTTACTTCTCTCATTCTGACCTAGTATATATATGTGTGTGTGTGTGTATGTACTACACTCTCCATGTACTAGAACTAGATAGATATATAGCTCGTACATGCACCACATTGCTTCTGGTGAAGGGTTACTAGCTAAATCGCTCTGTTAGCCATGCATCGGTCATTTGATACTGGAACATTTACAGAGATAAATATATGCAAATTGAAGATACAGAAGATATATTATATGAAAAACCAGACGTTGTATACGATTAACTGGATAATTAATGGCAGAGATATAGCTAGTAACCCTCTGCCTCCTCTTGCAAGAGTTTGAAATATATTTGGTCAATACGAATTAGATATGTACGGTAAGTTTGTCCTCTACACATATATATATATATATATATACGTAACAACACCTATATAGTATTTGGCAGATATATCATGTGCATGCCAAAACTAGTCGGTAACTCTTTTCTTCTCCACACGCTGACGGACTGAGTAGTACTACTACTATAGCTTCAAACCGAAAGTAAGCCATTGTCGAATTGCGTACACAACTTTATACTAGTCAACACTAGTCACTATAGTATAAATCCACGCGTCCAATCCAAGCAAAGCACCAATTTTGTCTAAAAGAAGAGGAGCCCTGGAGGTCATCGTGGTGGGTGGGAGGGACGGATACTTTTTGCTTTCAGATATCAGATTGGTGCCTCTCTCCCACAGCCAACTGGAGACTTAGAGTGAGGTCAAGATTTAAGTCGGGCAAACAGAAGCTTTTGTTGCTCATTATAACACCTGTTTGAAGTTGATTACCACCGTTAATACTCATGGAATCCGAGACGTCCATCTCATCATCATGCTTAGGCGCACGCTTCTGATCCATCGTCTTCGCAGGCGGCCCAAATAATATTGGATTTCTAGCATCAGGCTGCATTAGTAGTGGCACCTTGTTGTCGCGGTGATGGGGTTTTTTCGGATCAAGAGCCGTACTAGTAGTAGTAGTAGTACCCATCTTTACTAGCTTTTTCCTTATATGGGAGTTCCAGTAATTCTTCACCTCGTTGTCTGTCCTTCCTGGCAGTCTTCCTGCTATCAACGACCACCTAAATTCATCCAATATCATAATCATATACATCCATGTTAGTAAAGTTCCTTTTATTAGATTCAGTTTCCATAATCACTTAACTTGTAATCAACTATTTATAACAATAAATAGTTATGTGTAAAGAATGCTATTTTTTTTATTTTTTTTTATAGGTCTTTCTCAATCAATTTGTGCCACGTGTATTCCCCTCACACCTAAAATCTATGTATTTAATGCAAACTATCGATATTTTGCTTGTAAAGAGAATAAAGTGTTTTTGAACACATTAAATACGGGTGTTGCTATTTAGACGATATTTACTGAAAATATTGATGACCACCTCTCTAATATAGGTGGGTTCCACATATACTAATGGAGTGGAATACACGTAGCTAATATTCCTCAACCATAAAAGTAACATTTTTCCATATATATATGATTAGTGTAATTACATATACATGTGCATATTTTCTCTTATGCAGAAGTCCAAACGTTATTACCGTGCAGACGCCATGTATTTTATACTACCCTTCATGTTTTCTTCCATGTTTACAATGACGTATGCACAATAATAATGTCCAGAAAGGAGAAGAATTGTATATATATATATATATATATATATATATATGATAGTAGGCATATATTTATACACGTATTTGTAATCTTGTGTACTGTAGCTGGCTAGGTATATTGAAAAGCAAATTAAGTATGATTGTTTCGTAATTCGAGTAAATTGCACCATAAAACTCTCTTTATAGCTAGGTTGCTTAGGCAATCGTGTTATTAGGGAGTTAATTTTGGGGAAGGGGTAATGGATTGAGATTAGAGTAGTTTCATGTATGTATACCGGTTTCCGAGGAGTGCATGAAGCCTGATGATGAGGTCCTCTTCATCTTCTCCAAAGCTTCCGCGTTTAAGATCTGGTCTCAGATAGTTTATCCATCTCAGTCGACAACTTTTACCGCAGCGTCGCAACCCTGACCATAATCAACAATATTATTCAATATATATATATATATATATGTACATATTACAACTGTAGAAAGAAGGAAAAAGAAAAAAGAATCTACGACCAATATCTATCACCTCTTTTTCCTCGATTGAATTCATTCATCCAACAATAATGATCAATTGTCAATTTCATACATATATCAGTAATTGTTGATATCTTATACTTTTGCATATGTAATTATGCATACAATTTCAAGGATAATATAACCTAAACTCTGATCGAGTGGTAGTAATCGAAGAAATTGATGATTAAGAAGATATATATATGTAGTAGTAGTAGTAAATTACCTGCAGCCTTAGGAAGGGAATTCCAACAACCTTCCCCATGTTTTTGGATGTAATCAATGAGTTTCTGATCTTCTTGCTTAGACCATGCTCCTTTAGTTATCTCTGTCTTCTCACAGCAAGGCTTCCTCATTGAGTTAAAACCCTAGCTGAGCTTGTTATAGAACAATAATAGTAATCGGATGATGCAAATTGCATGCAGCAATAGAGTTAATTAGGATCGATATATGAAAATTAGTTATGGATGATATTCAGAGAGAGAGAGAGAGAGAGAGTGAGTGTCTAAGCAAGGCCCCATGAATCCAGGATATCGGTAGAGCAACAGGAATATATAATGATATTTTATAAAGGAATTTGTGTGTAGGTGAAGAAGGTCAGGGGGAGGGGGGATTATATTATAATCTGGAGTGTTGAAGATGGTCAAGTTGTCTCCAAGTTGACATGGACTGGTTGTTTTTGAATTTTAGCCATGTTTTGATGTGTATCCTGTGAATGGCAAGAATGTGCATGGTTTGGTGAGGTGAGAAATTGAGAATGTGCACCACTTACCTTTGACCTTTGTTTCCACCAGCTAACCCAATTGAGTGGGTAGGCCCCAACATTTTAAGTTCTCCCACGTCAGCATTAAAATCACACCTGTTTTGGTTTCTTTAATTTAATAAGTCCTTTCATTACTGCCGGTGCTTTCTGGTTTGTCATTGTACTAGTAACTATACGGGAGACACACAATGACCAAATTTCAAGGATTTATACGCAATTTAATTCCTTTGTCAGGAAAATCAAAGCATATGTAGAGCTCAGTCTACTAGTCGGGACAATACTTTATGACTTCGCTACCAAATAATTCATTTCAGTTTACAATTACAATTATCCACGCACGAGTTTCAGTTAATTAATACACAAAGCAATGCAAGTCAAGTTTACGAATCACTTCATGTCTGCCTTATTATTAGCTCTTAATTGAATGGACAAGGCTAGTTTTAAGTTTTTCTTTCAAATAGATTTTATATTAGGAGTGGGCATCGAGACTCAAAAACGGGAATATCTAGTCGCCCCAGATGGAAAAAACCGTATTTACTAAAAAGTCAACAAACTTGCACCGAATCGGACTAGACCGATTCAAACTAATTTTAATTTCACACCTTATAAAATTAGACAGGGCCAACTACCCATTTTTAATTTTTTATAAAAATTATTTAAGTCCAATGCTAAAATTCTAATATCATAACTAATATTTCCCCAAATTCAACTTCAAAGCACATTTCTTTTCTAGGCTCAATCATCTCTCTTTATATGAAATTGGATCATTTATGAAGTTTTAAGTCCAAAAAATAAAATTTTAGTTGGGGGTTGCGTGGGCAAATCATGGTTTCACTCGTCGCATACCAAACAAGACTTAGACTCGACAATCAAGGCCTGTAACCGGGTTGGGCCAGGTCTGGACAGTTTTATTGGGTCTGGCTTGATCATGCAAGCACGCACGTATAAAGGATTAAAAAAATAAAAGTAAAAAGGAGGGGACAGAGACAATCCTTCTTCTTGGATCTTACGTCTCACACACTGACACTTGTCCTTGTCTACTTTACCTTTTGAACATTTCCAAAACTCGCACAGAGCACTGGCGTTGATCATTCACGAGTTGCTGACCACGATCACTTCTCTCATCACTCTCTTGACACACAACACAACACAAACCCCACCACCTATAAAAGCCGCGAGCTTTCAAATCCCACCTTCTCGCTTTTCCCAAAATCCCCAAAATGACCCAACTCACCGAGGCCTACGCCTGCGTACCGTCAACGGAGCGAGGCCGTGGGATTCTGATCTCTGGCGATCCCAAATCCGACAGGCTCCTCTATACCAATGGCAGATCCGTAATTATCATGAATCTTCAGAATCCTCTCGACGTCGCCGTTTACGCCGAGCACGCCTACCCTGCCACCGTCGCCAGGTTCTCGCCCAATGGCGAGTGGATCGCGTCCGCCGATGTCTCCGGCTCTGTCAGGATTTGGGGGACCCACAACGACTTCGTTCTGAAGAACGAGTTCAAGGTCCTCTCGGGTCGGATCGACGACCTCCAGTGGTCCCCAGACGGAATGAGGATCGTTGCTTCTGGTGAAGGAAAAGGAAAATCCTTAGTTCGCGCATTCATGTAAGCGTCATCCTTCTCATTTTTCATATTTTAAACTATAAATCGGGTTTCTCTTTTTGGTGGATTTTCTGGCCTTTTGTGTTTGGTTAGTGAGAAGTTGCTGGAATTTGAATGATTGAATAGGTGGGATTCGGGCTCAACTGTGGGGGATTTTGATGGGCACTCGAAGCGAGTTTTAAGCTGTGCGTTTAAGCCAACAAGACCCTTTCGCATTGTCACTTGTGGAGAGGATTTCTTGGTCAATTTCTACGAAGGACCGCCCTTTAAATTCAAGCTGTCTCACAGGTTTCTTCATTATTTATCATAGCACCTACTTGAGGCCTTGATGTTTGTGTTACCGTACTGACTCAAAGTTTTTCCCTTTTGTTGTTGTTGTTGTTGTTTGTATGTTAGGGATCATTCAAACTTTGTGAATTGTGTGAGGTTCTCTCCAGATGGAAGTAAGTTTATCACTGTAAGCTCAGATAAAAGTGGTATTATTTATGATGCAAAGACCGCGGAGAAGATTGGAGGGTTTTCCTCTGAAGATGGCCACAAAGGCAGTATTTATGCTCTTAGCTGGAGTCCTGATGGTAAACAGGTAAAGTTGAGATTGTTATTTTCTACCCAAGAGATTTTGTTAATTTAATTGCTTATTGGACATCATTTAGATACAGGGGATTTCATGTACTTAGGCCTAACCAAGTGTTATCTGCTGAACTGAACCCTATTATAAGGATCGCTGCTTTGCATATTTTATTTTCTCTGTATTGTAACATCTTTCATCCCTGCTTGAATGTGCTGATCAGTTACAATTAAAATATTAGGTTCTGACTGTGTCTGCTGACAAATCAGCAAAAGTGTGGGAGATATCCGAGGATAATAATGGGAAGGTGAAAAGAACATTGCCTCCTCCTGGATCAGGCGGAGTGGATGACATGCTAGTTGGGTGTCTATGGCAGAATGATCATCTTGTTACTGTTTCACTTGGAGGCACCATTAGTATATTCTCAGCAAGTGACCTTGATAAAGCCCCACTGTTGATATCTGGACACATGAAGAATATTACGTCGTTAGCTGTTCTAAATAGTGTCCCAAAAGTTATATTGTCTAGCAGCTATGATGGTCTAATTGTTAAATGGATTCAAGGCGTTGGATATGGTGGAAAATTACGAAGGAAGGAAAATTCTCAAATAAAATGTTTAGCAGCTGTTGAAGAAGAAATCGTTTCATGTGGATTTGACAATAAGGTGACTAGAATTTTATATTCTTTTAGTCTCATGCAATTTGATGGTTTCTACTTTACATTTTTATTCCGTAGGAAATTTTTTTTGCCTGATTGGGATTTCACTTTATCTCAGTTTCTTTCCTCATAACTACCCAGGTTTGGAGAGTTCCTGTCCACAGTGATCAATGTGGAGATGCAGAGCCTATTGATATTGGCAGTCAGCCAAAGGACATAAGCCTTGCCCTTCAATCTCCTGAACTTGCTTTGGTTTCAACTGACACAGGAGTTGTCATGCTCCGTGGCACAAAAGTAGTGTCAACTATTAACCTTGGGTTTACTGTGACTGCATGTACTATTGCACCAGATGGAAGTGAAGCCATCATTGGTGGGCAGGATGGTAAACTGCATATGTATTCTATAACGGGTGATACACTTAAAGAAGAGGCTGTCTTAGAGAAACATCGGGGGTCTATTTCTGTCATACGCTACTCTCCTGATGTTTCAATGTTTGCATCTGGAGATTTGAACCGAGAAGCTGTCATCTGGGATCGTGTCTCCCGAGAGGTAGTGTGCTCATTGTCCTCAGCTACTGTTTATCATTTCATCATTCTAACACCATTGTTCTGGTATTATTGTCATTTGTGGTATGAAAAGGATAGAAAAAGTTGTCTTTTTCTCCTAGTCATGTGTTTATATGTGTCCATGCATGTGTGTGTTAGAATCTGTAGATGTGTGCATCAGTCCATTATCAGATGCTGTTCTTTGTTTAACCAAATTTAGTCAAACACATGAATAGACAATCATGTGAGGCAGTAAGTTGTTGGTTCTTTATATGGAATGTCAAGTGTGCCTCAGTTTAATTCGACTGATTACAAAATCTGTCATGTAAATGGAGAGCTTCAGTAACATGTTTCTAGAGGCCTGGTTGTGATTGTTGCTTTCTTATTAATGTTGAACACCTTGCATTTTAACACATTCTATCCCAGGTCAAGCTTAAGAACATGTTGTACCATACTGCCCGGATAAACTGCCTTGCTTGGTCTCCTGATAGCAGCATGGTTGCAACTGGGTCTCTTGACACGTGTGTCATCATATATGAAGTTGACAAGCCTGCATCAAGCCGTATAACCATTAAGAATGCTCACTTGGGTGGGGTGTACGGCTTAGCTTTCACGGATGAGCACACTGTGGTAAGCTCTGGCGAGGATGCATTTGTTCGTGCTTGGAGGTTGACTCCGCAATGAAGAGATATGGAGGCCTTCGTGGGCATATGAAGGCGACAATAAGGAGTTCTTGCTCAGTTTTATGGGTTTGTACTTTTGTGAGTTTGCCATCTGATAGAAGGATGAGAAGGCTATTTTCCATTAATTGAAAAGTATCAAGAAGGTAAACCAACCGTTTCAGTTGTCTGGTGTGTTACAAACGGCAACTCATTATTCCATGACTCATGACCTTGCAGTTTGGAGTAGGTGGTGATTACGTGTGATGTTTTTCTTATATGTCTAGTTTGGCCATTTGAATTTTGCAAAGGTTGAACCAGATATCTTTGCTTTGTAAACTTCCAGAGTTTTGAACCATAGAAATCATGGCGTGGCAGCCGCAGGCACAACAATCTTGATCGTGGACATGACTATCAATACAGAACCAGAAGATGAAACTGAATTTCAGCTGTTTTTATTTTTTATTTTTTATTTTTATAAATATAATGAAACCATTCTTTACTAGCTTTTTATGTAAGGAAGGTCTCAAGTATTTCACTTTGTTTTGTAATTACTTTTATATATGGTATTTATATATTATTAGTTCTTCTGTTTGCCAATTTGTTACACATGGTGAAATTTGTTTTTGTTGTCATTGTTTGCTTTTGTGAACAATGGGTTTGGACAGTGGGTGTTAAGGTATATTGTAAGCAGAAGAACAAAGGTGTGTCGTAAGATATTCTTCGTCTCCAATATGAAAACAAGTTGTACATAATTAACAATGCTGGCTCCTGTAAACCAACATGGAAATGTGACAGGGCCAAAAAATTTGAGATGGTAATAGCATACAGCCCTCTGTGCTAATGAATTGTGAAGCACAAACCATGGGAAAAGCAAGGAAACAAACAATTAAACGAGGCTACACTTTCAGAGTTCATCGTGCATCAATCTTTCTAGAGGTTCCTCCACTTTATGAACTGCATTGTCATAGACCTGGGCATGATTTACGACATCTTCAACAGCTCCAGGTCTGAGTTCTGCTCGCCCACCCATACCAGCCTTAATGGCAGCTGTGACCTGCCTCTGCAACGTCAGTAGACCAATACGCTTCGAACCCACATAAAGAACAGCACAAGAAAACAGGATAATTCCTAATACAAGTATCACCCTGTCCAGATACAACTCAACATGAGACTCTGCATATATACATAATAGTTATACTACAATGGAAATCTTATCTTCTAAACCTGTCAATGACATCTTGTCGTTGCATAGTGGAGAGTAGGTTTCTGGTTCGCATCAACAATGAACGGTGTCCCTTATATTCACTTTCAGCCTTCCGTAGTACTCCAGTAGAGTCCTCTGCATAATCCAACATATATAGAGTTAGTCTGGCTCAGGAAAATAACCTTTTCAAATCAAATGTAAGACGAACATTCATGTTTCAAATATCGCATACAATCATACTCTGCAAGTAAAGTGTCAGAAAGATAGTCCTAAAACGGAGCTAGATCAATGTCATATACTAGATGTGTCTTCATTGACAACTTCTAAGACACATTGTGAATAGCTAAACCAGAATAAAGTAACATGAGAACGCTCGGAGAACTTTGTAACATGGGTAGTACGCTAGATCAGATGAGGTACGGTGCCTTGAGTACATTGATGTTCTCTCTCAAGAGCAGTGGCTATGAACTATTAGCAAGAGACATTAGGTGCTGAGAGCTAAATATAAGCAGCTCAGCATATTACATCATTCTCATAGAACAAAATGTCTGCCAGATTCCAATGTTGAAACAATTTCATAGAGCAGAGGAAGTTAGAGCTGAGCTGTTATCCATGATTCTAATTGATCTAAAAACTTAGATTTCCATGGTCAATCTGTATAACTATTAACTAGAGGGCCCCCAAACAACAAACGAATTCTGATGATTGGAGTAGGTCGAATTCTCCATAAATATCTAAATTTAATTATTTTTTCTCCTTTTATTTCTATGACGTACCGCTTTAAAACACAATCCAGTATGAAAGTGAAACTCAGTGTTACAAGATAAGCTGTTCAGAAAAGTCATAAAAATAGCAGTGACAGTGTCTCAGCAAGGGAAAGATTGATTTGATGCGTAACGAAAGGAACTCACCAAAAGTCATGAGTGTGCCTGCAGTTCTTTCCACCTCCTACACAAATAAACAAGAAAACCAAATGTTGCATCCCGACAAAAAAAAATTCATGCTACCATGCCGCATAAAGATGTATTAATTAGAATAAATGGAAAATACAAAGTAGAGCAACTAACCTGAACCATCAGCTGACGAGTACGGCGAAGGCTCTCTGTGATGCTTTCTGCGGCAGATGTCATTCCAGCCTTTGTTCTAGAACCAAATGATAAATTAAATTCTCTAAATAAAAAATTCATGTAAAAGTAAGAGAATACCGTATCCATGCTCATAAAGATTTTTCCCCAAGTTAAAGACGATGCATATGTAAACCAATAAAAGCATACATAAACACGAATACTATTTTACCGAAAGCCGTTTAGAATAATTGATACATACTGTAAGTTCCGTCGACGAACAGTGGACTCTTCTCCACCTCCCAAAAGAAGTTCTCTCTGCAATAAACAAAGCCAAATCAATCACAATTTGCTCCAAATATTTTTTTCTTTCTTTCTCAGTAACACATAAAATAAATAAATTTCTTGACGGAACTTCTTAAGCTTATTATCATTAAGAAGGAAATTACAGCAACTATCTTATTTAGCTTATTATCATATAAATAGTTGAGCATGAAGATAATATGAATTAGTGAACAACCCTGATTTCACAATGCTAATGAGAAGCAGCAATGTAGAAGACAATAAACTAACCCAAATTAGTGCAAACAGGAATTAATTACCTCTTTCTGAGCAGCTTTCCTCATGTTAGCCTTTGCTTGCAAATTGGCATTCCTCATACTCAACCGCAAACTGATCAGGAAGACCACAAAACCCAGCGTTACCAAAACATTTAAATATTAAATTCAAAAGAGCTTTAATTGGTTGCAAAATCTAACTAACTTAAGAGCATTCAAAATTAGAATATATTTCTCTTTAATTCGTGATGAAGTTTCACGATTTCAACCATTTCCTTATTTCTGCGGAAACAGAAGTGATAATTCTTTCATGTTTTCAAAAAATTTCTCGGCCACCAAACAGACAGGTCTGGGAGCATAAAATTGAAATACCTTTGGGATCGGTTTTTCCAGGACTCAAGCAAGTTCTTTGCCGACTGGACCTGATCGTCGGTGGGCAACTGAGGGGCAAACAGATCGAGCTTGAACTGCAATGAATTAAGCAACGCCAAGCCGTCTTGGGCGAGCCCGTTCATTCTAGGCAGCGAGTCTCTCTGCGGCTCCGCAATAGTAACTCTAGGTGATTTACCATACTCCTCTATTGCCTTTATTTGCTCTACCACCTTACTGTACGTTTCGTCCCACTCCTTCTTCACCTTCTCCACTTCCTCCTCCACCTTGTCCATCTACACTTTACAATCTGTTTCACCGGAATCCTTATGGAAAATCGAGGAGGGCGATCACCGTTTGGTTTCTGATAAAATGTGGGAGAAAAAGGAAATATGATTTTTTTTTGGTTTTGTCCTCACCACAGTTCCAGTGGTGTCCTCACGCTGAGCGCGCCGTATTATTAGGGCCCGCCTCTCTTTTTCTTTTTTTGGGTCTAATTTGGGCCGAAGGGCGATATCAACAGGAGTGCTTCTATAGTGAGTGGAAAGTTATAAGGGGTGTTTTTGAGGGGTATCTAAGAGCCGTCGGATAAAATCCAATGGTGAGTTTTCAATGTTGTCTTTTTGGTAAAACCGGGTTGAAATTACCCATACCAAAAGAGGCAATCCGAAAGTGCAGAACACGCTCTTTCATCATTAACCCTCCTTCCTCGCCAGCCACCCACTCTGTAATATGTTATTCTCTCTCTCTCTCTGTTGCCATCTCTGGTTTGTGGTTATCAAAGAACCAAAATCCGTTCACTAAATATCTTGCAACCAACACAGACACAATGGAGGGTTTTGAGTCTTCTTTTATTATTGACACTTTATCACCTCAAAAATTCATTTTCTGACGCCCAAGTTCTCCTAATTCCTCTCCTCTCTCGCACTCTCCCAAATCTTGCCTCAGCTTCAGCTCGCCAGCCATCTCGCTACTGTCCAATCCCGTTCTCCACCCATCCATCGTCATAACCTAGCTCTCCTCAAATTCGGAACCCTAGTTTGACCCTAACCAAGCCGCCGCAACTCACGACCTCCGTCGTCGACCTCCACCGTGAAGCCACAGTCGCGACCTCCATCGTCGTTCTCCACAGTGGTGAGTTCTGATATTGGTTTTGTACTCTCTGTCTGTTATAAATTCGTTGATCCCCCTTTCTTTATTATTGCAACAGTAGGGGCATTCATGGCGCCGCTCCAGCCTCATCTCCTTTGCTCTCTAACTGTTAGTTCTCTTCTTCTCCGTCTTCAAATTTCAGTACTCCTCCTGACCTGAACCACCTACTTCTCTGGTTCTCTTCATCTTCATGTCATTCAATTTCAATTTTTTTTTCCTTTCTAAATTCTACTTTTGGGGTTTAGGAATTAGGGATTCAGTTGGGCATTTAGAACTTAGGGATTAATTTTCAAAATTCTAATTTAGGGATTCATTCAATGCCTAATTTATGAGCTTTGGCTTTATGAATTATGAAGTAGACTACTTGTTTTTAATTGATCATTGGTAATGGTATTATTGTAGTTTTTAATTGATCTTTGCATATTTCAGATTTTAGCCTTACAATTTTAGTGGCTGGGCAGCTTGCAATTTTGTGTGGACAGGTTATTAAATTCTTTTAGTATTAATGGAAGTTGTGTTACTAAATTACCAGTACCTATGCTCTTGGTTGACATGGTTGTTATGAATTGTAAGATTAGCTTACTATTCGATGGACCCACTTGCTGATATTAGGAAATGGAGGTATTAATTGAAATGAATGGGAATCTGCTTGTTTCTTATGCTATTAGATTTTGTGTGAGTGTGATGCTAATCAGCCATTAAAATACACATATTTTGGTGTTAATATTTGAAGTATTGGAACATGGGAAAGTTGAAAACAGGCATCTTCATGAGATGCTTGAGCAAGATTTGAAGTATTGCAAGAGCATTAAGTAGACCTCCTTTGATATGGCTTGCTGTAGAATGTAACATATGGATCTGAATTCCTTGTTCTGAAGGTGCCCCTGTAGATTATTTGTTTCAAGTCATGATTCTCTTACACCTATATAGAAACATAGGATTGGTTTGTTTTTATTTTATCTGGAATTGTTTGTTTTTTAGAAAATGGAGAATATTGGACTGCTTCAGAAAATTGTGGTTGTTTTGTTCACTATTGCCTTCTTTAGGAAGCTTATATAAAGTACATGTGGAGCTTCTTAAGTCAGACAATTCCATATTGGCCCATTTTTTGCCAAACCATCTGCTGATTTTTTAATGGTTCTTGTTGTTCCTAATCATGTTCCCGTAATATCACTTTTTGCAGGGCCTTCATTGTGTCTGGAAGGTTGGTTCCAGCTAATGATGTTCTAGCTACACTGTATTCTCTACCAGATAAAGTGGTAGATACTGTCGGTATTACGTCATTGCCATCTGAAGATTCTATATTTGAAAGGCGAAGGAAATTGGACTTCCTTCATATGCAGGAAGAACTGATGAAGGTTGGAATATTTTTTCTTTTATCTTGATAGCTTTATAGATATCTATTGGTGCTTTAGGAAGCTGCAGAACTAAACTTGCTAATCTGTATTTCATCAGGAGGAAAATAAGTGTGTATTTTGTTAAGCCAGTTTTGATGCATTTGTTTTGGACTTGGCTGAAATTCGGAATCCAAAAAATAAAAATAAAAAAAGGATGAGCAATCAAATAATAATGTTGAAAACAAAACTCCTGAAATCAATATTATGACTGTCATCCAGAGATTCTAAATTATTATATTGCAGAAGGAGGAAGAGAGAGAAAGAAGAGCAAGCCAAGATGAAGGAAATTAAAGCCAGTGAAGAGGATTTGGCATTGAAAGAGATGATTATTCCAACAGCAAAAGAAGCACGAGAACAAGCAAGGGCAAGGACACTAGAAAAGGAAGAGAAGATCTGCGAAATAAGTTGTGCATTGGCTGTTTTGGCTTCTGCATCTGTAAGGACTGGACTTAATAACTCTCAATGATTATGATTGTTGATTTTTCATTTTTCATTTTCCAAATTTTCAAGCACTATCATCTACACTATGGCTTAACAGTTTTTAATTTTTTCTGTTATTGACTCATTATTTCAGTCAGTTAGTAGGGAGCGTGAAGCGTTCCTGAGACTTGTCAATTTGGAGGTAATTTAAAACCCTTAATTACTCCTAGTTTATATTAGGTATCTATTAAGATGGAAGCATTTATCGTTGGTACCCTTACCATAGGTATGCATGGCATGCTAGTCTTCTCATGCTCGATATATGCAGACGCATTGGAGGTTTAACTGCTTACAGTTTATCAGGAGGACCGTACATCACAAATATTGTCTGCAGTTCTGATTTCCATGTTTCTGCTTGTACTGTGGATGTATTGGAAGAATTTGGATGTTGATGTCCACTATGCTTTGGCCCCTTTTAGTTTGAAGGATGTGTAGATTGACGACTTTTTAACTTTTAATGTGATTTACTTATGAGCTGTCTTCTACACATTATGTGAATGCATGCAACTCTGTCTTCAGCGTCATGTTCAAGTCAGAAGAATACTTCTGTATGTTCTTGTTTGAGTCCAAATGCATTGTCTTTGGGAATATTTTGCTTAAGTTGATTCTTTTGATCTTTCCAGATTGAACTTTACAATGGCATGGTGGAGAAAGAGGGTACAGATGGTGAAAAGGATGCCTTGAAGGCATATAAAGTTGCTCATGATGAAAGTGACAGTACTTCTGTTGAGGCTGAAGGTGACGAGGTTTCATCAGCGCTTATAGACAAGGTTATATATGAAATTCTGAATTATCTACTTTTAACTTACTTACCCCGTGTTCACTTGATGGATTATCGTATCTTCTATGTATCAGGTGGATGCAATGCTTCAAAACCTTGAGACGGAAATTGATTATATATGCGCATATTGGTGATCTCTGGCAATTACTTGACTGGTGAACTCGTCTTGTTTCGTCTTTGGTTTTCTTTTCCTATGAGTTCTGTTAGAAATCGTACTTCCTACTGAATGGAAGCAATCCTTCTTTTCTTGTCTTTCAATCTGTAGTCGGTTTGAGTTGTTATTAAACTCATTTTGAGGGATACTAGTAATGTTAAACTTTGATGGATGGTACTGCATTGGAATTTTGTCCATGTAATTAAAGGTATGAGGTTTACAATATGTGTGCATGGATTTTGATGGGAAAGTAACTCCTAATGAGGTTGCAGTTGCTCCGAACTACTTGAATTATACTTTAGGCAAGGAGGGCATCCAAGAACTCATAGGCAACCTTTCCAAAGATAAAGGTGAGTGAATTTTGTTTACACCGTATATGTATAGGAATCTAAATCTAATATGATGATGATGATTTTTCCTTGAAGTTAATTTGATTGATTGATTCATGAAGATGATGATGATGATGAATGTTGTTATCTTTGTGTGTGACAGATGAGAAAAATCGTGTGGAAGATATTGTGAAATTGGGCAGCCGGACAGAAGATGCAAACCAAGCTGAAGATGAGGGATTAGGGAATAATATATATGAGTCACTGACTGACTTTATTCATGATATATATATATATATATCTGAGACTCTGAAATGGTTGTGGAGTGGATTTGGTTAAATCCACTCTCTAGGTTTTGTTTTTCAATATACACGCAATGCAACAAACCAAAATTGTATAGCACATGGTATGTTACTTATGACTCACGTGTCAGTTTTTTGAGAAAAAGTACGCCAGCTCGTTAATGTGAACGGACATGATAATGGGGCTTTACTGATTCCTAACTCGCTGTGCTTATTGAATAATATTTCAATATTTGTGAAATATAATGTTAGATAGAAGGAACACATGATGACTTGCAATACATAGTCCCAATAATTATATATGAAGCAAATGAAACTGATATTTGTCTTATTTTAAATTAGATAATGACATTAAAGGAATATACTTCTAATTTGTGCAATACTACGATCACCCCCAACCAACTAAACAACGGTAGCCGCAATCACTTAGTCGTATTGGTCGGCTTCTTCTGAGCAGCTTTGACGTGCTTATGCTCATTCATGTCACCACCATCGTCTAGTATCTCTCTCACAGCATCAAGAGACACATAGTCCCAATTATAACTTATATGAGTAGTTGCCACAAATGCTCGGAATTTTTCGAATCCTTCGTTGAATGCCAGCTCCAGTTCACTGTGGTGCTCTTCGCATTGCATATAGTTCATCAAACAACCTTTAATTTCATCATTCATTACTGTATCCAACTCCTCAGCTTTCAGCTT